ACTACTTGTATTCTCTGTCCATCTTGTTACCGATGTCATTTGCTTTACTGTAATTTATACATGTTCTTCTCTTTTGTTCTTTTGTTCTTTTCCTTTTTATTCCTTTCTTTTTTGTTTTTTCCCTTTGTTGCTTGTTACTTCCTATCTCTCCCGTCCCTTCATGTTTCCCTGTTTTTGTAAGCACTCCCGAGTGTGACAATAAAACGTGCATAAACCAAAAAAACTAAGCATTACTATATAATGAAATGCATCATGAAAAATTTTCTTTCTACCATGTATGACTCAACTAGTAAAGCGAAACACTATACAGCCGATAGTACATACATCTCGTAATAAAGTAATGTTTTCAACAAATGTTTTTCAATTGGAAAAAAAAGCGTATGCTGCATAAAAAGATATATCCCTTTATTCATCTATGCTACTAACACCAATATAGGTAAATACAAATAGGAATATCGAACCAAGGAAAAAGAAGTGACGAAAACAAAAATCACAATAAAAGAAACGGAACTGTCTTTCTGCACATTGTTCGTAAATATTTTATCATCATTTGATAGATCTCGAAATTCTCTATCGAATGATACATCACTGAGCGTGGATCGAAGTTTTTCTATTGATCACATCAGACTCGTCATGAGCAACAACTGCATATTTTTTTCATCCATGTATAGTGGGTGTAAGATCATTTTATCGTTACCCAGTCTTTTTCCTACATTTTTTAAAATCGTTTGATAGATCTCGAAATTCTCTATCGAATGATATATAAATGAGCGTGGACCGACATTATTATCTGAGTCTTTCGCGAGAAGTATCATCATCGGTATTCACCTTTACTAGAACTTTTGTATGATATGCCGACGATGTCAAATTCAATTCAGTAGGTTTTCTCATATGTTGACATACCGTCAGAGAGAGCGTGAAAAGGGCTACAATCTGACGGGTAAATTAAAATAAGTAGTAACTATGATAACTGAAATATTTTATTAAAATGATGGGCTCCTCAAAGGAAATACAGTGGATTTTAGTGCAATATAAAAAGTAATGCAGATGATGTCTAGATTTAATATAATGATAAAATGTGGCTCAAAATGTCGATGTAGCGTCAAAACTAGCATAATGATGCGAAAGTACAACGATGACGAAGTGACCAATAAAGCATATAGTCTTTCGACTGCTTACCAAATATAAAACAAACAGAATATTGATCGTTTTGTTAAATTTCCACATTCAAGACTACTGATTTTATATGTTTTAGAAGAAAGGATTCGTTTTTCAATCAGACTCACCTGTTTATATATACTTATATAATAGTTTCTATCTCAGCACTCTATTCTTTGTCCATTTTTTTCTCATGTCAAAGTGAAACGTTATGCAGTAAATTCCTTAGAAACAGCGAGACACCAAAGAAGTTACCCATGGCATGAAAATCGGATCTTATCGCGATTATCATATGGAAAATAAGATTGGACAATTTTGAACCACAATCGAAATGCTTCGATCGGATCCTATGCTGGGCCCACGCGAAGGACAAATGTTGAGGGTGGGAGAGTTAATGTTGTTTTTCAAGAAAATCTTACAGAAAAAGCGTAAAATGTAAACGAAATCTGATATTTTCGCTAGAAAGAGCTGAAAAAATTTTGATTACTAGAAAGGCTTCCACCCCACCCACAGGTATATTCAAATTATAACTGGGTATTTCATGGCACTGGCAGGTCCACCAGTTCGGCTCACCGGCTCGGGTCACTTCCCTTACAAAAATGTTTTCGGTTTTCCCCAGCAAAAATGAAACAGAAAAGAGTCGTACTGCTTCGAATATGCTTCCAAAACCATTTTTGACCAGGAATGCCACCCCCTTACTGATTTTCTGCATCCGCCGCTGTCCCATGTAATCCTACCTGACGGGCCCTATCGTACACCGACTATTCTATATTCTTGATTTGATACAACACAATGGCAAGATCAGTCTATAGATTGGAAAATATTTTCTCTTTCGATCTCCAGTAGAAAATCTAAATGTGTCACAAGCTAGCCTATCTATTCGTTTTCATAGAATAAAAGCCAATGAAATCATTTCTAATATTACTAATATATTTTTGAAATTTTATAGCAGAAAAGTCTATTCTAGAGATTTTTTGTGTATCATTTCAAATTTCATATAAAACTTGTATTAATCCTCCTCTTGATTATCAATCAATATTTTGATTTTCGACTACGATTACAGCATAATGAAAAAAAAATAACCTTAAAAAGTAAATGTTGGTCCTTATCGATGGTGTGTTCTAGAACGCTGGTATTGATAGACTTCAATACTTTTATTTTCTACATCTAATCAAATCTCTATTTATCCTTGCGTAATTTCTTGGAAATACTGCCTAAGAAGTTTTTGAATCCAACTAATTTCTGGATGAAAACTTCGAATAAACGAGAGAGGAAGGTATAGCTGTGTTTATAGTTATTGATGATAAAGAATGTTAAAATTTATCTGACTCCTTTACATATTGACATAACATGTCCTTTTTATGTTTATCCTTGAAACCGATGTCTACATGCACATACGTTCTCTTTGTCCTATTTAAAAGTAAGAAGCGAAAGAAATGAAGAAAAGAAAAAGGCTAACCGCATTATATCACTCCTACAGCATCATTTCGTTTTCTTGTATTCATCATTGATTTGTGATAAAAGCAGCTTGCAAAGTATTTTTGCCAAAATAAATTTTAAATAGAAAACCAACAATCGAATGGGTTCATTAATTAATGAGTTATTCAAATGGCCATTAGTTACACGTCTTCGAGCGTCAGATAATGATGATGAACACGTTGATAGACTTAATCATCGTTATACAGTTGGCTTTATACTTTGTGGCGTATTCATAACATCAACCAAACCATTTGTTTCAAATCAAATATCGTGTTGGCTACCAGCCGAACTTAAACATGCGAGCTATACAAAATATGTAGAAAGATATTGTTGGATTGCTAATACATATTACATACATTCAAATGTAACACCACCGCACTCCGATGAAGATAGAAGACAAGCTCAAATAGGTTTGTAAATATTTACTTTTGTTTTAATTTTTCGATTCGTAAATCCATTTTGAATACATGAGCTCAAAACATTTGTAAATACCGTTGACTTTATTCATATCATTTTGCACAGCTTTTTATTGAGACCTTGTCTTACGCGTCGATCTAATGTCAAAATTTACATTTCGTACAATAAAAAAAAAGTATCATGTGGACATTTTATATCTGGTAGCAGCTTTAACGGTGCGAAGATGAAGCTTATAAATAGGTTCTTTGTTCAAAATAGAAACCTGAACCAAAGAAAAAAAGACTTGCCATTGCAATAACTCTATAACAGAGAAGATATCTCTGCTTGTTCTTAATGTCGCTGTGATTAGCGAATTGAATTAAAACATAGTATCCTAAAAGTGAGAAGAAATTTTGTTATAAATTTATACTCTAATGTTAAACAACTGTTTAGTTTCGTCTCAGCTGACTACTAGAGAAAATTTGTTTCTGCACTCCTTTACTCGAAAAGAGCAATAGAATTATTGATTAAGAAAATTTATATCAAGAGCAAATATGCAAGACTAAAAGAGAACGTTATTTGCTTTTACTTCAATGAAACATTCGACAGCATCTAATCGAAAGTTTTCAGCGATTAAAAAAATAGGCGAAAGTCTTCTTAAGTGTTGTTGATTCATCTATTTAAAATATTTTTTGTATAATAGTAAAAATTGATTTATCGTTTTCAAAGGCTATTATCAATGGGTGCCTATTCTACTATTATTGATGGCATTAGGATTCTATGCTCCTCGATTATTTTGGCGTTCATTCAATGCTCATTGTGGTATTGATATTCAAAATCTAGTTAAAAAAAGTCAAATTTCAACAAAAAATTCTACTGAAATGGCTTCGGGCATGCTCGAACATTATTGTCGAACATTTACATATCAACGTTCAAAATTTTCAATTCATATTCAAGCATACGTTCGTCGGAATAAACATCGTGGAAATTATTTATTTTCTCTATATTTCTTAACACGTTTTATGTATTTAATAAATTCTATTCTACAACTATACCTACTCAATGCTTTACTTGGTCATCGCGGTAACGCCTGGTTTCTTGATATTGACATAATAAAATCAATATTTCGCTATGGAAATCCTCTTCTTGATTCACCGTATTTTCCTCGTGTTACATTATGTGATGTACCTATACGTGAAATAGCTGAAATACATCGGTATACACTCCAATGTGTTTTACCGGTGAATATTTTAAATGAAAAAATTTTTTTAGCATTATCATTCTGGTTTAGTTATGTTATTCTTCATAATATCATAAGCTTTATTGTTTTAATTTTTCAACAACTTCAAAGTCAAAGAATTAACTATGTCAAACGTTTGACAACATTGATCGAAAATAACAAACGAGATTATATTGAAAATTTTACTATAAATTATTTAACCTATGATGGAATTTTTCTACTACGTTTAATCAGCCACAATTCAAGTGAATTGCAAGCAATGGAAACTATTAAAACTATCTTTCAAAATTTTAAAATAACAGAAGAAAATAAAGTATTTTAATAGACTGTTATGTAAAGTTTTTTTCTTTCTTTCTTTTTTTGATGTTCTTTTGATAATAGTACAGCTAATAAAGTATACATCCGTTTTTGGAATGTTTGCATGGTATAATAAGATAGCAATTTCCGATTTTGTCTAGATGCATATGTGAAGATTACAGGTGCGAGACTATTTCTCAAGTTGAGTACATCAGTTTATTATCGGAAACCTAGAGGAGTAAGACAAAATGATGTTTTGGATTAGCATAAAAGACAATGTACATATATTGGCATGCGAAAAGTAATTTTCATACGGAAATTATGGCCTAATACTATATATATATATATATATATATAACTAAATTATTAATAAAACTCAAAGTAGAACGGAAGAATTATGTATACTATTTAGTTCACTGGCATGTTATGAAACACGTTAAAATTCATTCTAGTAAATAAATCTACTTCAATATTTGAACAGAAAAATCAAAAACCTGAATGATATAGTAGGAATTTTTTTTGGAATTTTATTCCGAATCAATTTCTGATTGAAATTATGTTACACATGAAATATTGTCATGGCAATAATATTCTCATAAAAGTTTGATTTTCACAATAACACTGATTTCTGATGATCTAATGCAATCAAGAGACAAAACTCGATCATTATCAATGATGGCAACATATGCTAGTATGAATTGTAATAACAATGAACATATCATCTAGACATTGATTGTTGTAAAACTCTTCAAGCTTTCTCTCTCTCTTCTTTTTTTACGATGATTACGCATTTCATAAACAAAAGCAAAGAGAGAAAACAATAAACGATTTTCATCTCGATGAAGTATACGGTGCAGACTCATCCGAAGCAAAAGACAAAGTCAAATTTTGTTTTATCATTAATTTCTCAGTGACTATGTAGTAAAAGATCTATTCGATAAGATCTTATTTTTATTCGAATAAAAAAAAAGAATCCACTTGAATAGATACGTGTCTAGATTATTAATGAAAATTCCGCTTATTTTACAGGACGATGTTAATCATATCCTATTTTAATGTAACAATCAAGAAAATAAAACTTTAATACCAAATATTTTTCTTTCTTTTTTTCTCGCCAAGGAGAATCATAAACAACATATTGAGAAGGAAAAAAAGATGAAGCATGATAAATAATAGATGACGAGTAGAAATACATGAAGCAAAAAAACATATTTATATATATGAATTTGAACAGATGATCGCTACTTGCAGTCCAATAGAAACTTTCCCTAAGCGCATATTCGATGAAGAAGAAAAAACCCGGTTTTATTTAATAACATTTTTTTAAGAAGAGAAAAAGAAAGAGAAATGATCAATTTTCTTTTCTTCCTTCCTTCTGTTCAGTGGACACTTCTTTTCTTTTCTTTTCTTTCTTGTTCATCATATTCACTTCTTACTGGGACACATACACTCATACATATATAATATACACACATCGCACGGTTGGTTCCGTATACTAAGAGACAAACGGGAGTATCATTTTTTTCCGATTGAAGACGATATTGCATCACATACATATTCAGGATAATGATGACGGTAATTTATTATGCTTCTCTATATATTGAAGATTGTTTAAATTGAACACGACATACACATGTTCTACTCACTGATCATTTTGGTCTATTATCATCATACCCTGCTGTTACATGCAACATCAGCTTCATCATTATTATTCACGCTTAATAATGTTCGATATTCTTTATCTGATCGTGTTTTAACGATACCCAAATTAGGCGCTTTACGCGGTATACATATCGATTACGATAATGAATATTATAAAAAATATAATCTTATTAATGTGGAAGCATTTCTGGGCATACAATATGGCTTATACAATGGACGATTTGAACCATCAAAAGAACGATTCGATTTACATCAATATACAAGGGTAAATAAACAAATTGAATTTGGACCCGCTTGTTCACAATATATATGGAAAAATGAAAGCGAATTAAGTCGAATACGTACAAGAAAATTTGCTCAAGAATATTATCCGAAATTATTAAAATATATTATAAAACAAAATGAAGAACAGTGTCTTTATATGAATATTTATCAACCACAAATAAAAAATTTTAAAGGTAAAAATAAAACAGAACTTGATTCGGTTTATTGATAATTAATCTACTGTATCATCACTGAGATAAACAGTTCTTACTCTATTAGACAATGGTTATATTGTCTAATGAGGTGAAATAAATTTTGTGTTCAATGATCAATAGTCCCGACAACTCATCGAGCAGTAATATGTATATATACGTATGAGATCGCCATGCACACTAACCAGACCTACTGAAGAACGATGACATTGTTGACACACGTTAGAATTTTGTTTTCTTTTTCTGTATGCATATTTAATGATACAGTTACATTACGAAGAACAGCTTGATCACAAACATATTGATGATAGTGTTGACATGAGAGAAAGATCGTGCTAATCCCGTCAGGTATTCAACTCAAAAAATAAAGTACAATAGAAAGATATTCAATCTCTATTGATGACAAGCAGAATATTAAATATACGAACATTTAATCTCGTGGAAATTTATATGAAATTTCTTTGTCTTGTTTTTGTAATTTTTAGAACGTCTTCCAGTACTACTGTTTATTCATGGGGACGGCTATGATATGAGTACAGGTGCAGCATTTGATGGAGCTATATTTGCTAGTTATACAAAAACGATTGTTGTTACAATTAACTATCGACTCGGTCCATTTGGTAGGTAGAACAACAAAAAAAAAACGAAAAGAACTTCCTGATCAAAGTCTCATTTTCTCCATGGATGAATAACAATTTAGCTTAGTGATAGTGAGCTTGATCAAGGTTCTATTCTTTCCTGTTTATGTTCATCTGATTAGTGATTGCCATTTCCGCTCTACAACATTCTAGACTAGTCTTGTTCAGCGGGTGGCAATTATAGTTAATCAATTCACATTTGTCCCTCACCATGTGAAGAGTGTCTAATATTTTTTCAGTCTATTAGAAACAGTTATTCAACTGGATGAACGAATACGTCTATGACGACTGAAGAAGAAAGATTTACTTGAGAATCAAATGTAAATGAGAATCTATTAAATTTATACGCATACATGTCCTATATCGTTCTTCGCTCGAGTTTTTTTCTTCAAAGCTACTATTTTAAATGACGTATTTGTTTATTTTAATAAGCGAAATTAAAACAATTTTTTAATTGAATATGAACATTCTATGATGTAACTTCATATGTGTGTCATCATAATTTTCCTATATACGCTTCCGATACATATGTTTATATATAAAGTCATCAGAGATTAATGAAGAAGGATAATCGAATATGAGCTTAAGGCAAAAAGATTCATTAATCAAAATTATTCTGGCTTTTTTTCTCCTTCTGCTGTTGCAAAATCAGGACAGTTGGCAAACTAACACATTCATCATCTATACTTGTAATCAAACAATCGAAAGGCCGAAAGAAAAAAATATTAGTATTTGCCTAGAACAACATTCAATTACGGGTAGCTTATAATATTCAACACAAAAAAAATCAATCAGGATTTTTATTATGATCAACTTTGGAAAAATATAGCGTGACTTCACATTTAACAAAAAAAATTTCTTTGCAGGCAAAATAAGCTAATAATTATCATCAATTATGATTACTTCTATTCACACACTAAAAGATGAAAAATACATAACAAATCCTATTTCATTGCGATGCTCTACTTGACAAGAAGACGATAAGAATGTTTACATGCCCGCCATCACTATTTTCATGTTGATCTGTTAACTGGTCACAGCAGTTGTTCACACACTCGGATAGATGGAAAAGAAAAGAAATGAACTTGTTTGATGCTTTAACTGATCTTCTTCTGGTTTTGTAAATATACTTGAAATTTGATCTTTTTAATATATACGATTGATGTTCATCAATTAAATATTCTAAAACGATTATAATCTATTTTTCTTTCCTTTTGTCAATAGGATTTCTTTATATATCACGTGAAAACAAAGGTGATTATGCATTGCAAGATATATATACAGCTTTGCATTGGCTAAAAAACTATGTGACAAATTTCAATGGTGATCCGGATAGAATTACTCTCTATGGAACAGGATCAGGGGCTGTATTGGCTAGTCTGGTTGTTATGCTTGAAACTGTTAATGGTTTGTATATTTGTTTTAAAGCTTTAAAACCAAGGATTTTTCACGATTATCATTGATAAAAAGAAAGAAAGGCAATGTAAAGAAATTGTGTAGGCAATTATGAGCAGCATAAGGTGATATTATCTAGAAGAAGCAATTGTGAGGCGTCAGCTATTTGAAATTTAAGAAAACATTTGTTTTTCTTCCCATGGTCAAGTCCAACCTATCGAATGATCTGTAAAAATTGAAGTACATAAACATTCGCCTGTGCCAAAAGTATCCAGCGGCAATAAAATTGATTACTATCAAATTTTGTCACTAGAGAAAATGATAGATTTCAATATTCGGCAGAGTTGTGCAATTGATGCATTCTTTTATTTGAAATTCGTAGATGCTCTTTCAGTGAATGAGATTGTAACGTTTCCAACTAATATTTATAGAAAAGTCAAAAATGTCAGCGACTAAAATACCTATGATCGACTTTTTAAACGGAGAAAGATTTCACGTGAATTCTGACCTACTTTTTTGTTTTCTGTGTTACTGCTTTTGAATTATATTCAACTGTGAAAACATAATCAGTTCGTTGTTTGAATCGATCATCTATTTTGTTATCATTAATTGAGATTAACTTTCAGGTGGGACCGGAATAGTAAAACGACGAAAACCACTTGTTCATCGTCTTATTTTAAACGAACAAACATTTCTATCACCATATATGACATCAACATTCGAAGAGGTTTCTTCACACCAATCAAATATTCTTTCCTATCTATCGTGTTCAACAACACAATGTCTTCGTAATCAAAGTTTAATAACAACAAATGATTTTCTACAATTAAAAACTTATTCAAATGATAATCGATATATGAATTATATTTGTCCACTTGAAAATCCATTTCCATTTTATCCAGTATCCTTCAATAATGATAATCATTTAAATTCATTACGATTTAAATTTTTTCAACAAGCTCATTTACTTCTACCAGAAAATCTTCAAATACTTATAACAACATCCTCGTCAATCATACGACCAAAATTGCCATTACAAATCGATATGAAAAATTCAATTACGAATAATATTATCGAATATTTATTTAATTATGCTTATATTAAATGGAATAAAACATCAAATCAGTTCGATTTCGATGAACAATCATTGAGTTATCATCAGCAAATAATTGCACCCGTACTTCAATACGCTAAATACATATCAAATCAAAGAAAAATCTATGCTTTAGAAAGACTTTCAAATAAATATGATTCGGAATTACCGTTTACATTCGGATATGTTTTAGCACCGTCCATGAGTGTTTATAATGATACATATTCAAGTGCCACTGAAAACGATAAAATCGAAAGTATGCATATGATGGATTTATTTGCTAATTTAATACACAATGGGTGAGTTGATTAGATTTTTTAAGTAAAGAACACAAGAGACGACTTTATTTTAATTCATCATTAGCGATATCAACATTAAATCACCATATTGTAAACGAATTGAATGTGAAACCAATGAAAAATGGAATTCGATTTTGCCAGAATTGAATTTTATTCTTTTGAAAGGTGAGTTAATAGTCATGTTTTTCTAGCTTTTGTCAAGCGGAAATATTACAATAATAGAAAATATTTGTTCAAGAGAATATTAGTTCGCTGGTGTCGATAATAATCACGGTTCATATTGAATGAGCGTCAGCGGAATCCTTTCGAGATTAAAATGTGAAACACGATAAATTTGCTTTTTTAATACGTATCTTTCAGTGTCTACAGGAAAAAAGGGATTTGCAAACTCGTTTTCAGATCTTGTTTCACAATATTTTGATAAAAACTCAGCACTGCAACATTTTAAATATTTCTTCCATTGCTGAACCAATAGGAAAAATGTTAAATTCCATACGAGTGCTCTACAGTTGATTTTTCAAGTCTATTGTCAACATCAGTGAACTAGCACTTTCACATTATCGAATATCTTCATACCAATAAAATGAACGTACACACACCCTCCTTAGGATTTACGTAGTCTCAACTGAGAAATGATCGCTCAGAGAAAAGAACATGTTTTTCTTTAAAACTATTTAGACGGTAAATTGAGTCAACAATCAGGTCATCATGCGCATGTTCATTATCTATTTAACAATCTTATATCTAACCTATTCAATCAACCATTACATATCGATCTCTTAAATGCATGGAAAAGTCTATATGAAATATCACATAAATCGAATACGTCCATCTATAATTCTACAATAAATCGATCGCTATTAAAAACAAAATCGATTCATTTTAAAATAAAACATCCGAAACATATATTCATATTAACATTAAGTATTCTTATTCTTTTAATGATAAACTTTTTCATGTGCATCCTATTCTCACGACGTGGACATGGCTGTCGAAAACGTGAATATAATTGTCTTAATGGACATGCACAATTAAATATTGAAAAACGTCAACATAATGGTGAATCATCACCATCGAGTACGAATAGTAATGGGACTATGACACAACAATTAATTGTTAACACACACTACACGAAAACAGATAGTAATCCTTGCAATACACCATCTGTTGACACTTTACATCCAATAAATATAACCAAAAAGAACGCTATCTTGCGAAATGCATCAATAAAAAAAACTTCATCATTACCCGAAGCAATTGTATAGTATTCTTTTTCGATTTTTTGTTCTTCTTCTTAATTTTTATTTGTTTATTTCTTGAATAAATAAATTGTTTCAAACAGTGAGAAAAACAATATAGAAGGAGAGAATAAAAGATTAATCAGCGCAAAAAATGTTAGATATTTTCGGTATCAATTATTTCGCCATTGCCTTTAACAGGAGGCTTATTCACTGTATGTGTAAAACTGATCTATAATAAAAAAGTCAATTGTTGTCAAAGAAAAAACATGAATTAATTTTCGTCTTACTTGTGGTTCAGGTAATTTATTATCGTCATCATCATCTTCCTCATCGCTCGATTCTTCAGCTGTACGTAACCATTGAACGAACTCGTTGGCCATTTCACGAATTTCTTTAGCTGTATTTTTATCTGTGAAGCGTTTCGAAGCTTTTTCGTGCCATGTATAAAATGTATCTTCTTCGATAATGTCTTCGTCGTAAAATTTCAATAGAATCTTTGACATCGTTTTCTTATTGAAGATCTTTTTACGAATTTCTTCATGTTCACCGATCAACGCTTCAATGGCATGTAGCAAATATTTCTGCCCTTTGGCATTTTTTGTACATAACTAATGATTAAAAAAAATGTTTCTATGTTACAGTAGAAGAATTCGATTATTTACTTTGGTGAACAAAAGTTTATAATCATCAATATCTTTCAGGATATTTTCAGTAAAAACACATTGTCCGACAATAAACGGAGCTTGTTCCATGATTTCTAAACGTTCGGCTTCAGCAAGAAGGTCCCTTACTGTTTCTATATCATTTAGTTTTTGATCTGTTTTCTTTTTCTAAAATAAAAAAAAAACTAATTAGAATCAATGAAAAATTATGTTAAAGTCAGTTTACTTCAACAAGACGACCATATTGATCACAACGTTCAGCTAATTGTTTATCAAGATCACTATCATCACTCCAATCATCATCGATTGGACTGCTACTATCATCCCCACTATCTGTCGATGTTGATATGCCATTCTACAAGAATGGCAAATTATAAAAATTATTTTCATAAGTTCAGAAATTTCTTACAGCTTCTCCAATAGATTCAGTAGCGTTTACTGGATCGATATGTTTCTTACTTTTTGATCGATTTGTCTTTTTTATTCCTGATGATGCTTCACCTTTCGCTTTCTGAATTAAAAACAAATTAGTCAGGAAAAAACTATTATTTTGTGTACATACAGCATTTAATAAATGCTTTGCAATATATTGTGTTAATCTATCTGCTTTCCTGTCCATTGTACGTGAATGACCGCATGCATTACAGCTTTGATGAACTGCAACATCACCTTGCTGATCTTTATTAACACTCTAGAAAAGAATATTCCATGTGATATCTTACAACATGAGCAGGGTCAACCGTTTTTATCTCAGCCCGTCGCAAGACTATCTCCCAACTCTCTATCAAAGAAGTTGCACTCAACTTGTGTTAGTTCTCATCGTTCTGTCGTATTTCGTTTGATTATAAAAATGTGAAGCATACTAATTTCGTTTCGGGATTGTCACATTTTGAACAGATCACATATCGATCAATAAAATCATAAATAAAGTTTTGTAATTTTTCACAATCATGTGTTCCATTAACAAAATATCGATCTTGTTTTTTATTCTGTTTTACTGGTGCGCTTAATTTATAACAAATAAATTGGGCCAGGTCTGATAATCAAAAAGAAGAATGTTATTTTCGTTTTATCAAAAAGCAAAGAAAAAATTTTTCGTTGTTTTTCTCTTACAAATTGGTGGACGGTAGACGTCCTTGGCAATGGCGGATAGATTGATCAGAATAGTTTTCATACAATTTCGTCTATATTCAACTTCAACTACAAGTCTATGCATTGTATAACGATCGAATGGGTCGAGTTTTCGACGATCAATATTTATCATGGTCATGTTTGTGTTGTATTGTTATTTATTTTTAGCAACTGAAGAAATACTTGAGTTTCTGCTATTTTTTTTGTGTCGTGGTGAGGTTGCGCGTTTTGACAGATGATCTTGTAGAATAGGAACCAGAGGGGCATGAAATATTTAACATAGAATATTGAACAACAGTCGGTTGTTTCGTGAGTCACTGTTTGAATATCTAATCGTAATGATAATATTGAATATTAATTAATAGCGGAAAAGCTGAACTTACCTCGAATCAAGAGTTTCATAAAGAAATTAAGTTTACGATTGACGTACAAGCTTTTGGGTAGAGCAGTCGTATTTATGAATTAATCTAACAATTTCAAGAAAAATAATTCATATGATGAAATACACATTGATGACGATAGAAGAAAAACATCTGTCAGCATGTACTTTTTAAAAAAGCTATATTTATTTATTACGTAGATATTACGTAATAACACTCAAACAACAATTTTTTCTACATACCATGTTCCGTAATCGAGACCTAGCAATGAAAACTGTTTGCATTAACGATTTTTCGTATATACATAAGCATATGGGTTAGGTCTCGTTTCGTCGAAAAAATGAATCCTAATTAATTGATGGAAGATAGAATATATCAATTGATAAGATGTTTTCCCTACTAATCAAAAGTAATGCCCGATCAGGTGAAGATAATTTTATCTCGGGTATAACGGAAATTATCGAGAAGTAATGTAGATTTTATACGCTTACTTTCAACAATAGTTGGCATTATTCTTTATTTAAATTAAATATAGCATAAATAGAAAGATTAAACATCTCCTTATATGTATATAAGTATTTTCTTTTGCTTTAATAACTTGAGCGTTCCAATCAATTTATTTAGAAAAAGAACATTTTAAGACAATCAGCACAATTAATATGTGATCCCTTTGATTTTAGCTCATATTGTTACAATTTCATTTTTTCGACGAAACGAGAATATACCGTGGTGGCCATTGGTTAGCTGAAAATGTGCACCCAAAAATTTTCGTTATTATTAACAAGAAAGACAATTGGATTCATTTGTAATCTGAAGAGTTCCCATTGAATTCAATTTGACGATCAAATGACTAATGAACTCTTTCGGTTTATATTTAAAAATAATTATGCCTATGAATACTGTTTACAAACTATCCCTATGACGTCATGTGTCGTTATCGTAACTGAAAATATAACATTTTGTTCTTCGTCCGCTTTATATTATGTTCTTCCTTTTAAAGGACACTTGTGTTTTTCTTTTCAACAAGCATATACATTTAATAATCCTCAAGAGGTAAGGAGGAAGGACACTGTTTGTTAGACTTGAAGCGGAATATTGCAATCAGAAACATTGTTGTTTTTACTGTTTTGATCACGTCTTTGCGCAACAACGAAAAATATGTAGTCTTCACCCCTGAACATACATTTGTGTGACTGACACAGGGGAGCTATGATTATATTTGCTAGGATTATTGTGAGAAAACTGTACTCTACTGCACGTTGTGTGCCTAAGATAAGGGACTAATTTCAACCGAAACACCTTTCGTTAACATCCAATTATTCATCTAGCTTATCTTAGGACATGCGTCAATAAAAAAAAAACTTCACTATTACCTGAAGCAATGGTTTAGTATTGTTTTTCTATTATTCGTTCTTCTTCATTTTTATTTGTTTATTTCTTGAATAAGTAAACTGTTTCAAACAGTGAGAGAAAGAGTAAAGTGAAGTTTTAGTAATTGGCAATGACAAAAGCGATATAGAAGGAGAGAATAAATGAACACCAAAAAGAAAAAGGGAAAGAAAACAAAAAAAAGCAGCATGGAGACAACTATGAGGAGCAGTAGAATAAAGGATTAATCAGCGCAAAAAAGCACGAGAAAAAAAGTTAGATATTGTCGACATCAATTATTTCGCCATTGTATTCAATTTTGTTTTCAACAGGAGGCTTATTAACTGGTTCTACTTTAACTTCAATACCACTTCCAGCTGTATGTGTAAAACTGATCTATAATAAAAAAGTCAATTGTTGTCAAAGAAAAAACATGAATTAATTTTCGTCTTACTTGTGGTTCAGGTAATTTATTATCGTCATCATCATCTTCCTCATCGCTCGATTCTTCAGCTGTACGTAACCATTGAACGAACTCGTTGGCCATTTCACGAATTTCTTTAGCTGTATTTTTATCTGTGAAGCGTTTCGAAGCTTTTTCGTGCCATGTATAAAATGTATCTTCTTCGATAATGTCTTCGTCGTAAAATTTCAATAGAATCTTTGACATCGTTTTCTTATTGAAGATCTTTTTACGAATTTCTTCATGTTCACCGATCAACGCTTCAATGGCATGTAGCAAATATTTCTGCCCTTTGGCATTTTTTGTACATAACTAATGATTAAAAAAAATGTTTCTATGTTACAGTAGAAGAATTCGATTATTTACTTTGGTGAACAAAAGTTTATAATCATCAATATCTTTCAGGATATTTTCAGTAAAAACACATTGTCCGACAATAAACGGAGCTTGTTCCATGATTTCTAAACGTTCGGCTTCAGCAAGAAGGTCCCTTACTGTTTCTATATCATTTAGTTTTTGATCTGTTTTCTTTTTCTAAAATAAAAAAAAAACTAATTAGAATCAATGAAAAATTATGTTAAAGTCAGTTTACTTCAACAAGACGACCATATTGATCACAACGTTCAGCTAATGGTTTATCAAGATCATCCGTTTGAATCATGCCTTTAATTTGATGATTTAATTCAGCTATATCTGCAGTTGTGTCATCGCCCCNTACTGTTTCTATATCATTTAGTTTTTGATCTGTTTTCTTTTTCTAAAATAAAAAAAAAACTAATTAGAATCAATGAAAAATTATGTTAAAGTCAGTTTACTTCAACAAGACGACCATATTGATCACAACGTTCAGCTAATGGTTTATCAAGATCATCCGTTTGAATCATGCCTTTAATTTGATGATTTAATTCAGCTATATCTGCAGTTGTGTCATCGCCCCAATCTTCATCATCTTCATCGTCATCATCACCACCACCATTTTTTGATGTTCCATTCTAGATTATAATTACCGATTAAGTCAGTTTATTTGAATAGAGAATTTTGCAATTTTCTTACTGTTTTTCCATTGGATTCAGTTGGACTTCCTTCATCCGAATCTCTAGTAGTACCACCTGCTGAATTTGCATTTTTCTTACTTTTTGAACGATCTTTTGTTTTTATTTCTGGTGCTGTTTCACCTTTGGCTTCCTATGATGCATAAAACATAAATTAGAACAGACAGTTATTTGATATACATACAGCATCTGGCGGATTCTTTGCAATGTATGTTGTCAACTTATGTGATGCCATAATAATTATACCTGAGTAGCCACATGCAGCACATACTTGATTTATTTCACCACCGTTTCGTTTACGAACACTCTAGATGAAGAAAGAGAAACAATTATTAAATCGCGCCGTAAATTTCAACCATGATATGCTTTTGCTTGTATAAAAACTAGAGTATCTCACAAGCATACACAGTTTCAATTAGACCGATCCTGATTTCTCTCAAGTCAGAACTATGTAATTAGACATAAGTTTGACATGCCATGAAAAGCTTAAATGGCGTCACCATCATACGTTTCGGATAAATATCAAACTCATCTCGATTATGGGTATCCCCAATGACGTACTTTTGTTTTGTTGACGAGGCAAAATTATGAGTAATCTATTAAATGTCATAATGACATTGATTATATTCAACTCTCCTAGCTGCCTGACTACTTCATTTTCTATTCGCTTTTAAACAATGCTTGTTTTCTCTCGTGGAAATAGATGCCCTTGAAAATTATCGTCCTCTACATTCTCAATCCTTGACTATGATATGTTAAGATGAAACCTACTAGTCTCGTTTCGGGATTGTCACACTTTGGACAAAGTACAAATCGTTTAATAAAACCATCAAGTAAATTTTGTAATTTTTCACAATCATGTGCTCCATTAACAATATATCGATCTTCTTTGGCATTCATTTGTACTTGTGCACCTAATTCACAACCGAAAAATTTGGTTACATCTAATAATAATAATAAAAAGAATATTATTTTCGTTTTATTGAAACAAAACTTTCGTTGTTGTTCTCTTACAAGTTGGTGGGCGATTGAGAGCTTTAGCTATTGCAGTTACATTGACCAAAACAGTTTTAATACCATTACCTGTACCTTCAACTTTAGCTGCAAGTTTAGGCATCTTATAACGGTAAAACATGTCATTTGTTTGACGATTAACATTTATCATAGCCATGGTTGTATTGTATTATTGAGTGAATTTATTTGTGAATTATTTTGTTTTATTAACTGATGAAATGCTAGATTTTTTCGATATTTTTTGTATCGTGATGAGGCTGAACGTTTGAGCCTATCGAGAGACGATATTGTGCAATAAGTGCCAGATGGGCATGAAACATTTAACATAGAATATTGAACAACACTCGGTTGTGCCGTTCGTCTAGAATGATAATAATGGCCGTGGGCAACTGTTTGAATATCTAATAGTAATGATAATATTTAATATAAGTTAACTTTTTTTTTTAAAATCTAACTTACTTCGAATCGACAACTTCATAAAGAAACTAAACTTTCAATGGGCGATCAGTTGTTAACTGCTACAGTCGTATGTATGAACGAATCGAAAGATCTGAAGAAAAAATAAAACATAAGATAAAATGCACCGTCATGACGATAGAAGAAAAACAAATGTAGGCGTTTACATAGCAATAGGTACATTTCATTATTGCATCGATATTATACAATAAAAGGAAAAAATCATTAGTGAAAATAGAGAGAATTATTTCGGCGCGTATTTGTTCTCTAACTAAAATCTTAGAAATAAAGTATAGAAAATGAGAATCTGTGTATTCGATACGAACGCTGCTATTTATTCGTCTAGTAAAGGTATATAATGTTACGAAATGTAATGACGCGTATGTATGTAATCAGTAGTGTCGTTTTATAATCGAACAACAACCATGAATATGTTCCGAATAGAGGAAAAAGAAGCATATGTGAATTTTAACTAATTTTAAACAAAATTCTAACATATAATCATCAGAAAATTATAGAATATACGAATTAATTTTGAATTCTCATTTTACTGGTATTGATAAATAAAGATGTCAGTAGTATTCAATTGTAATGAAAATGTAGCTATATTATTTCTTACGCAACGTTTTTTTTATACGCACTCTATCGAACGTCATCTCTTTTCTTATTCTTCTTCCATTTATATACAGAAGAAAATACTCCGTTGGCATTGGACTAGAAAAGAAAAAACGACTACCGTTGGGATTTTATAAGGGACGCCAACCAAATATTCGCAGTTCTTTTATCATGCACTATCGTAGACCAAAAAAGAAATTTGAGAATGTATGTCATCGGTAGAAAACAGAAAATAAACGTATGAAAAATATTGATCTTAATGATCCATAATTCTAATGAGACCATTTCTTTCAAAGTATTATAAACTGGTAAGTAGTCATCGAAGTTTTATGATATGAAATCAAGAAGATTTTTTTTCCAAGTGTTATAAACAATCATAAAACGAAATTTATTTATTTCACGATTAGTAAAAGTTTTTCGTTAATGGATTAATTATAATTAAAACTTTCCTGTTCCTACAATCTTTTAGAATAAGAATCACCTTTTTTTAAATATAAATACTAAATAAATAAGCATAGAATTTTTTACTTTATTAACACCAGCAGATGTTTTTAAACGTCATGATTTTTCTCCCGTAGCTGAAGATTTCTTTTCTTTTATCATAAAAACTTCATTTATCTACGTGTCCGCCGTTATTGCTTTCGAAAGTTAAATATAGCAGCAGGAAAAGATCAATTTTATTTTTTCCCTGCATATATTTTCTACAGAAGTTTTCAATGAAACTTAATGATGATCGATTGAGATTTTTTATTATACAGAAAAATAACACGACGACAGTCTAATTTTCACGGTACCAACTTTTATGATAGGAAAACTAAAAACAAATTTTTCTTTCAGATTTTTTTTATTACACGAAAAACATGAATAATGATCCTCAAGAACCACCACCGCCGTATAGTAAGTTATTTTCTATATTGATGAATCAGATGACAAGAGCTATTCATTATTTTTTTGTTTTCGTTTAGTGGAAGTAGAAAATAAAAATGTTCCGATGGTGGGAGGCCATCCTTATAGTTTACCTCAACAAGGTCCAACCGGTGATATAAGATATGTAACAGGTAATCCACCTATGGGAACTTATTACACAGTGCAAGCTGTTCCAATAGGAATATTCAGTAGAAATCCAGTGCAATGCACTTGTTCTCATTGCGGCTCAATTATTGTTACACGCATTGAAGAAACAAGTGGTCTATTAGCATGGCTTATATGTGCCTTATTGGTTATATTCGGTTGTTGGCTTGGTTGCTGTCTTATACCATTTTGTGTATCAGACTTTCAAAATATTAAACATTATTGCCCAAATTGTAAGGCTTTTCTTGCTGAATATCGTCCTTTATAAATATGCACATGTTTTATTAATGAATGCAATAACAGAACTATTATATACGAAAACGATAGTTTTCTTTTTCTCTCTTCAAAATAAAATTTCAAGCTCATAGATGCTATAAAACACGCCCCGAATGTATGATAGATATTATGATTGTTAAAATTGGTTGGGTTATTTCATTTTTCTATCTGTTTGTATGTATCGAATACTAGTCTTACAGGTGCACTAATTGATTCTTCAAGCAACAACAAGAAATGAGCCTCTCCAAATGGCTTTATATAATATCTACGTCAATATATATGATTCATAGAGAAAAAATAATATTCGTTTTATTTGGTACGGAACGGAACCTATTTTCTTATCAGTAAATACTATCGAACTAACACTTTTAATGAGTTTGTTTTTCGCATCAAGTAACATCCCATAGGAAGATTATTTTTAATTAAGTTTAGAAATATGAAAATTATTTTTAATAAAAAATGCATTACATAATATAATTAAATTCACAACCAATACAAATTTATGTATTGTTTTTTACTTTATCAGAGTATAAAAACATTACTGTAATGTTTCATGGCTCTCACCTAATCAAGGAAAAATGAATAGAAGAATAGAATGTTTCTCTTCAGTTTCAGCATTACATCCAAAATATTTATTTATCACTTGGGTATTCTTTATAGTAGCGAATATTTATTCGTTTTGAAAACATTTCCTGATCACGCAATGTTACAATGGAATCTCTCGAGATTTCGTTTTGTGACAAGTTACTATTCATGAAGAAAAAACAACAACAATAGAAAAGACGATTTGGTACATCATTAGGTAAAAAATTTAACAAAGAAAAAATATAAAGATCTGCCAATCGTAATAAAAAAATGAATAATCTATCATTTTAATCAGCTTGTATAGAATTAAACCGAAAGCTTAATGCAACGATCGTATAATCTATCTTATTTAGATTGAAATAGACGTCTTTAATAGTTTCCTTCTAAAATCATATCAGTAAGCACGTGCTCATGGCAACATTCCTGTTTTGGGATCTGATTTGTCTTTTAGTTAGCATTCATTTATTTTGATTAGCACTCGCCAATTATGATTTGATAAAAAAAAACAAAGATTGCGCCGAGCTAACTACGTTACTTTGTATCGATAAGTCAGCGTACTTTAAAAAAACACGTTCCATGAAAAACGTGCCGTTCCCAATAGATTTAAATTTGTTTTTATCACTATTATGAAAGCAACCATTTCAATAAATAGAAATGTATGCATTGCATGATTAAAAATATAATTTTGAATTGTATGTTATAATTCCGGAAACGTAAAATGTTGTGTTCATACGAGCTCGAATAATACTCATGACTAACGATGAGTCATGTATTATGCTTACTGGCGACTTTAGGAGTCAAATTTTTCTCAATAGTCGTACGTGAAAAGCCTTTGCAGAAAATACTATCTAGATTCTATAGTTTTTCACTTTGAGAAATTTTTGTATCTTCCGTACCAGAGGTGTCCACAGGGCAGGGCTATACCTCCATGCCCTGCAAATTTTGCATATACTTATTTTAGTTCAAAAATAGCAGAAATTTTATTTTTCGCGGAAACGTCAAAGAAACTAAACAAAAATTCAGATGACGTAATTAAATGGTTAATAGATTATTATATTATATTTGTGTGCGTATGATGACAGTGAGGTTCAGCCAAAGTGGTAGGAAAAGAAAATAAAAGAATAAAGGAATCATAATAGTCACGTATATTTATAATTGTAATAGTTGCTCATTTTCTTATTGTTTCAATAAAACTATGCATCCCTATCACCGTCGATAGATTCACGTACTGATATATCATCTGTCTCTTCTGGTAATGCAAATGAAGTTTCTATTCTCTCTTCGCTAAGTATATCTATTGTGGGCCACCAGTGGTCGTGTAACTTCATCATATACACCTCTTCAATTAGGACTAATCTATTATTTGTTAATCATTCATCTATTAGTTGAATTATTTTTCAAATTAAAAAATTATTTAAGCTTTAATTTAAACATGAAAACAATTCTTAATTTGTAGGACAGGGCAATAAAATTGACCTGTGAACACCTCTGTTACGTACAAGCTCGCTGAAGACTAGACATGGGCAAAGTCAGCTCTTTTTGAAATCGGAATCGTACTGGAATCGGCTTTAATATATTTTAGAATCGTATCGGAATCGCCGATTCCGATTCCGAATCGACCATGTCTACTGAAGACACACTATGACGAATTAGACAACCGGTGTCTATTTGTTATAAATAATATATTTATTTAAAACTATTTATGAAAATTGAACCATCAGCCTACCTGATAGTGATAGAAAACAAAGTTACAACTTTTTGTCCTTCGAAAACTGGTGTCAAAGCAAGAAATCAAATTATTCTGCTTTACTTTCAACGTGTGAAGATGAGAAATAGGAGAGAACAAAAAAGAGCATGTTTTAATGAACGCATTCGGACTTGTTTCTTTCTCTCAGTTTATTGTGCCAAAGAGATTTAAATCAACAGAAAGCTACAATATATAGAGAATGATCTCGTATTTTCTCAACACAAAATTGCTCCAATTAGACAAACGAAAAACAATTGCTCGATCAATCTTCTTAGCGATGGTGCTCTGTTTTCTTCACTTTTCATGTCGACCATTGAACTTTAAACAGTTGTCGTGGGTCAATGAAATATTTAATCAAAGGACATCCATCAATTGTTCTATGTATGGTTTTGGAAACATATCAAGCAACAATATTCTTATCTATGACTTTTTCATATTCAATAATGAATTCGATATGTTGGAAATTCGTCTTTATGAATTATATGATCATGTTACGCTATTTCTTATTGCTGAAAGTAATCAAACATTCAGTGGAAAGTCAAAACCATTGTATTTGAAAGACAACTGGTCACGTTTTAGTCGGTATCACAATAAGATACGTCGTGTCGAAGTCAACTTCATGATATTAAATCAAAAAACAACAGATGCTTGGAGTAGAGAAAGAAGAATGAGAGATGAAGGCATTCGATTAGCTTTACCTCATTCGACCAAGTATGACTTTAATAAATATTATTACTAGAATTAACGTGAAATAATTTTTAGAGACTACTTATTGCTTACGTCAGATCTAGATGAAATACCAAAATCTCGTTTTGTTCAAGCGCTTGCTTCGTGTGAACTTCGGACTCCATTTCAACCAATGTTACTTCAATGCGATTTTTATTATTACTCATTTGAATTTCGTCATGCTACTCGTCCGTATTCAGATGGTGGAACTGTGTCTAAATTCAGTCCAAATACAGCAGTACCATCAGATTTACGAAAAGCTCGTTTTCGTTATCGTTCGATGCCTAGTACCTGTTTTCATTGTTCTTCTTGTTTTGATCGTCTTGCATCAGTTCGACTGAAAATCGCTTCATTTTCACATACTGAATTTGATATTCCTAAATTTCGTGATCAAAATCATATTATTGATCGTTTTCGTAATGGTAAAGATCTATTCGACAGAGTTGGTGAACGATATCGACGTACTTATCCTCATGAAACGGGTTTACCTAAGCTATTACGAGTAGAACCTAAACGTTTTCTGTATATGCTGAATAGATCGTCGCCGAACGCTGGGTTTCGAGATGTTTAGATAATGAACATAGATTGAGCCATTTGAATGAAACTCAAACTATACGCTGATTTTCTATGATGTCATTGCGTTGCGAACAACGAATCGTTTAATCAGCGATATATTTTATATGAGTTCTAAATGATGCAATACTTCAGATTTAGGTGACTGTTTGATACCACCAGCAACTCTTCACTGGATCGATCTTCAGTAGAATGAAGATTGAAATTCATTTTTAGTCTACGATTTTCTAGCATTTTGCTTTTCATAGATGTATTGATAAGGAAAAGATTAAATAGGCAGGATTCGTTTACGTCTTCCCTACAATCCTGATCATTTTATGATAATTGTTGAGTTCATCCTTAAAAGTGATTCATCCATCTTTTCCTTTCTTAGTAAGATTTCTAAAATTAAAATCATTTCAAAATTTGTAAAGCTAGAGAGTTCATTTTTTTAGAGGAATATATTTTATTTATTTAAGTCAGTTGTTTCAAAATAAAGTATCATCTCTCTTTAGTAGACGCTATAATTGAAGATGTCCAATTTTCAGAAGTTTTCAACTTTTCTCTCGGTAGTCATATTAATAGAGGTAACCAAAAACATTACAAGTCATCTGTCACTACGCCATTCTATGTAAACGATGTTTCGAACATATGTTGCGCCGTCGTTATTGGAAAACCTTTTTGGAAAGCTATTTAGTTAAATATAAACTATAGAGTCAGTTACTTTTAATCGATTATTTGAAACTACTTGAATTTCATCAAAACTTTATTTAGTCAATTTTGAATCAAGATACAGATCAGTCATCGTTTTCTCGATTTTTTTGATCAACAAGTGAATTTCAAGCTGTTGTTTGCGATACGGATTGATGTGATCTCTACAGCATATTGAGTGCTTCAATCGAGTACTCTTTAATGAATGCGATTTCATATTTATGTGGTGCGACGATCTCGATAATGGAACTTTACACTATGCTCGTTGGAACAGGATCATGGCACTTGTACAGTCACATCCACCACACACATACTCACCCTGCTGACTGGCATCCTATTACTGAATTTTGTGGATTATTATCCTGTCCTGTCTGATCAATGTTTAACAGCATCGGCACTCTCTGTAATCACCATCAAAGACTCATAGATTGCAATTGATATGTTCTATGTGGATCGAGAATGAAGTAAAATTTTTATATTTTCTCAACAAAAATAAGCAGAAGAGAACATTTTTCAAATAGTAAGTCGGTGAAATACCTGCCTCTACAGCTCTGTAGATATTCTCAGGCGAGCTGCTTTTAGTCCTGTGTTTAGGGGTGATAAATAGAAAACATAGGATTTTTCGGAACCGCTCATAGGATTTCAGTTGAGAAGAAGTTTGAGCAGAATATATATTCTACTCTGAACTGCGACTTCATAATCAAGGGGGAACTATGGGAACTGAAAAGAAGAATAAGAATCGGCAGACTACGTGCTGAAAAGATTAGAATGTGAGTTCAATTAAATCGTGACGTTAAACTACAAGGTGTTCGCTAGTTCATTTAAGCGAATCTCATGGGTGTGTGCGAACATAAGAAAGACCAAACACACACCCTTACTATTTTTCAACGGTTTACACCATTCTTACGCCGTTCCCTAGGACATTGGTAATTGAACAAATATTTAATGTGAATTTCTTTAATTCTGTCATGTAGTTGATAATATTGTTTTCCAAATTATCACCATCAATAATTGATCCAGAATCATGAAAAAAATTCAAACTAACTTCTTCTTTTCTTTACTTAATTTTCAACAGAAAAATATGTAATACAAATCTTGTAAAAATTTGAATGGCGCATCTTGGGCGAAAAATTCAAGCCTAGAGAATAAAAAATGAAGAAGTTATTCAACAAACACTGAGGGGTCCATTTACTCCGGCGCACCCGATACGCTCATAAACAAGAACTTTAATACTTTTATGTTACGTATAAACAAGGGAACCCTTTCAAGCCTAAACTTTGACTTTACTCATTCAATTGATCTTATAGTGAGCAATAAAACTTTCTATTGCAATGATAGCACTCGGACCGAATCCAATCGAGGATCGAGTAAATCCTGGCGACGCGCGTTACTTGTTTTTAAGAACAAATTATTATTGGGAATAAAAGCTTAAAACATGTTTATCAATATTGCATTTAGAAATAGAATTTACCAATTCTATGAAACAATTGCTTTTGAACCAAACAAAATCATATAATGTGCATTACGTAGATGAGCAAGAAGAATAATGATTCGCATGTAAAAAGTTAAGAGATTAAAACATAAAAGAACACGTAGATCTGATAAATTGTTGTGTGAATTTGACGCCATCTAGATTTTTTAGATATACTTTATATTACTTTGAATTCAGCTGATAGTCATATTATCTAGAAATAAAATTTATAAATGTTTGGGCAAGTCAAAATTGCAAACTCATTTTTAACAGTTACATAAAGAGTTCAGCTGAAGTATATTGATATTGGTTTAAATAGTAACGAATGTATCGAGAGCATTTTTTATAGCTGATAATGATTCATCTACTCTCGTTTCGTAATTATGTTAAACGATTTATAATATTCTGAGTCGATTTTCAATATTTTTATTTACTTCAAGGCTTGAAAGGAAGATCTTTATTTATAGTGTTATTCCATATATGGATGTCAAAATTGAAAAGAATCTAGAGGATTCTTCGTACTGTGTTTCAAACGGGGTCTAATCTAATTATCGCTTTCAGTTTGCTAATTGTGAAGAACAATGAAAATTAGAATTTTATTTAAGATTTTAAATTCATTTCTAGGATCGTTACCGTTCGAAGAAAAAAACGTTGATGCATACATTTCAGAAATATATCAGTCAATACTTGATTGGAAAAAAATACATCTTCACTCTTAAAAATTTCATGCATACACGAAATGTATGCTTTATTCTATCAGTAACTAGATCTATATGCCTTGTTTTATTCCAGATGAATAACGAAACAGCTGAAGCAGTGCAGGCTGCTCTTGCTGAACAAGCGAATCCAAAAGATATTTCTACTTTTCAACGTTTTTTCAAGATGGGCAAAGGTGAATACGCTGAAGGTGATATATTTATTGGTGTTCGTGTACCTGCTAATCGGATTGTAGCTAAACGATTTTCTGCTCTTCCACTTCTCGAAATCGATCGTCTATTGAACAGTTCCATCCATGAACATCGCCAAGCTGCCCTATTTATTCTAGTCTATCGTTTCCTGGCTGCCAGTAAAATATCGTCTCGTGACGATAATCTTCGAACTGAACTCTCGACCTTCTATATCAATGCACTTAAACGTGGTCGAGTGAACAATTGGGATTTGGTCGATTTATCAGCTGAACATTTACTAGGTACCTATCTTGAAGATCGACCACGCCAGTTGCTTTTCGATTTAGCTTCAAGTACTCAATTATGGGAAAGACGAGCCGCTATCGTGGCTACATTTGCTTTTATAAAACGAAAAGATGGATCAACGACATTTGAACTCGCAAAGAAACTTTTGGATGATCCAGAACCTCTAATACATAAAGCCACTGGATGGATGCTACGTGAAACAGGCAAAAAAATCAGTCAAAAAGTACTCACTTCTTTTCTAGACCAATATGCTGCTCAAATGCCACGCATTATGCTTAGCTATGCAGTTGAACATCTATCAGTGAAACAACGAACACATTATCGTAGTCTTAGATAACTTTTCTTTTGTATTTTTTCGTTCATAATTCAGATATCAACATATACATTTCTTTTTGATTAAATAAAAAACAAAACTCTTACTCTGAATTTCTTATGGTTTTTTCCATGGTAATTTTTCATCAAACTTAAATTAGATGTTGTCTTTTCGTATAGGATGATAATGTGAGATATATTTCTAATTAGATTTATTTTTCAATAAAATAACTAGAGTTGCTCATATTAACATTTAGATTTGATGAAATACTATATAAATATAGTGAATGTAAGCCTGGAAATGATGATGAATAATAGTAGTCGAGTTAGATGGAAGCACGACGAGCGTTTACAGTCATTCAATCATTTCTATCATATTCTGTATTGAAAAACTACTACTACAAAATTACTAGATCACGATACAACCTGTTAACTATTTCTCTCGATTCTACAAAGCAATTATTTGTTCTTAGAATAGATCCCGTTTTACTAATTTACTGGATAGATTGCTTTTTTTCTTTATTGGTCCAAAGTAGAAAATATTTTTATTTTCAAATTTTACTGAAGATAGAAGAATAAGATTATTTTATACACTAAAATCATAATAAGCCAGTGTATAATCGCATTTCATATATTAGTTTTCATTCATCAAAAATCTGGAAAAAAAGCAAGCTGAAGTCAATAACACGATTGTTTTCGATTAACCATGTAGACCAAAGAGAAAAAACACAGATGTGAATTTGAATTTAATACGCCTATAAATTATCAGTACTATTATTACTCATTGATCTATTTCTAATCATATTACTTCAATGGTGCGCTCTATAGCAATACTCTTTTTCTTACTATTCTCATGTTTTAATGTTGAAGCGCTGAAAAGTGAACAACTTCAGCAGATTCATGCCGGTAATACATGCGAATTTTAATAGAAAATAAAAAAGTTCATTTCGGATATAGGCTACTGTCCAATGCATATGATGGCGTGCGCCATTTATTGTCCACCTGCTTCTCTTAATTTATTGTTTCCAAGACAATTCGATGGCTGCAAAAGTGATAGTGCATGTGGTTCTGATGAAAAATGTTGTAAACCAGCTTGCGGATGCACTAACAAATGTATTAAAGCTGTAGAGAAGCCAGGATTTCAAAATTCTCTTTGAATAAAGTTCTTTGCACTTCTTGGCTTGCAGTTAATACTAAAAAAATAAAATCGCTCGATTTCTTTATGAACTATTTTCATTTAAGCTTTTCCAAGAACATATTAATTGTAAATATTTGACTCGTTATATATATATATATATATATATTTGATCGTCGGCAAAAACATGCTCGTGATTATTCAAAATTTCTGATAACTTAATGATGTTATCAGGATCGAATCGAATGCACTCGATTAATATAACGAATCGATATCTTAAGATTGTCACGAACGCATGAGACATGTTTTCACGATGTCGATATACTAATCAATTAAGCTCGATAGTTGCTATACATTGCACATTCACTGATACTGGTTCGTCATAATTGACAAAACTTAACAAGTTCGATCAAACATTCATAGAAATGAAGTTAACATCGTTTCATATACATTTAGATGAACAATTTGAATAATCATCTATAGAATACCGATATTGATTAGATGGCGACTAATCACAAAAAAATATATTTGGAACAACCCCAATTCTATGACGTCATTTATTTTATTTCATACAACTAAAGTATACATATATGAATGCAAAAGAAGCGAATTCTTGTTGTTTACTTTCTGAATGTTGTACTTTAACTCCATCGAATCATAAAATGTTTATTGTATTTTTAATGATACACGTTCGATATCTTTGCTAATTTCAATTAAATCAGGATGTTCTGGCTTAAAAATCTGTTTACGAATATAAAGCGCTTTTTCATAATGTAGTTTAGCTTCAATGAAAGCTTTTGTAGCTTCATAAACAATACCGATATTTTTCAGTACTCTTGCAATTGAAGGATGTTGAGGAGTAAGAGATTTTTTGAAAATTTCATACGATAATTGATATTTTTTTAATGCTTGCTCATATTCATGACGAAAATAATGTACATTACCGAGATTATTGTATGTATTACCCAAGCAAGGATGTCCATCAGGAAGTTTTCCCTGTTTAATATTTAAAGCTTTCGTAAGATATTGTAATGCTTCGGAAAAATTTTTCTGTTCTAAGTAGATGATACCTAAATTGTTATAACACCAGGCTATATTTTCATGATCATCTGCAAATGTTTGCTTGAAAATATCTAATGCTTTTTCGTACGATTGCAGCGCTTCTTTGATTTCACCTTTCTTTTGATAAACTTCGCCCATACTATTATAGATGTATGCAATTCTAAAATCATTTGGTCTTCTTTTTTGTAGAATTTCACGTGATGCGACAAGATAATTTATACTGTTCTCATACTCTCCTTTTTCAAATGATACTTTGCCAAGTGCATGATAACATTTATAACTGTCTTGATGTTCAGAAGATATTTGTTTTAATCGTCGACACAAATATTTCTCAGCATAATCAAATTGGGCCATATCAATCAGAACACGTCCAAATAAAGTTAATTTAGTGCTGGTCGAGTCATATTGATTTGTCATGTGCGAAAAGATCGTTTGTAATTCGCATTCGCTATCACTACATAAATTCATTTTAATATGCCATATTTTATCATCGTCACAAGAGATATTTTCCAGGCAAAAAATTGATCCAGGCATTAGTAATATTTCTTCTTCTTGCTTAAACACGCTTCTTCGTGAAATATCAGCAAATGGTTTTATATTGTCTTGGAGAGGATCGGCGTTAATCTCGAATAAGATTCTTTGAAATTTATCATCATTAGTAGATGAACCGAGATAGAAACGAGCTAATCTAGGATCACAAGTAGTTGATAAAAATGAATTCATTGAAATCAATTTATTTTTTGAATCTTTCAATAAATTTAGTTCTTCAATAGACATTAGTTGAGCTCGATAGACATGAATAGGCGATGAATATTGATTTTGTCGAAGTTCTCGAAGTTGTTCTTCAAGATCACGAATAAAAAAACCAAAATAAAAGAGTAAATCAATATCCTGAACACGAAGTGCTGTATTCAATAAATGATAGAGAAATGTTTCTCTTGTATACCACCACAATGAAAAGTCTGATGCATAATCTCGTTCGAATTCATCAATGAACCGTAGTTGTGTCTTTTCATCTTTATAGAGTTCTCGACATTTACAAATAAATTCTTTTTGATCTGTTGAAGTTGTTTCCATTTTAAGAAGAGAAGCAATTAGTAATTGCGATTGTACGAATTGACCACCCATTTCAGTTGTGGATAGTTCATGATTATTATTTGTATTGCAAACATTGATTAACATTGGCTGATCACATCTATCTTCAATTCTTCTGGATTGATCAAATCCTATTCTATTGATTACATCATCAAATTGGTCATAATCATTTTTTACCTAAAACAACAAATACCAATCAAATCGGTAATAGCATTATAACAAAATAATAATAATTACCTTGCTATACAGTTTATTCTGTTGGCAATCATGCTGCTTATTTTCGCAATATATGTGAATTGAAAATACTCCTGGAAGGCCATGAACTTCAGGTATTAATTGTTGGCAAAAGTCATCATTGGCAATTACGATAAGTCGATGTTGTGAAGACACTGATTGAATATACTTTATACATTTATCCACTTCGTTGAATGTTTGTAAATAGTTGATTGATAACCGAAGTTCGTTTTGCTTATCTAAATATTTTGGCGAATCGATTAAACCATCGAGCCATATAAGATGATATGCTCCAAAACAATTATCTTCGCATGCAACCGATCGGGCTTTGCCAGATAAAGATGATTCTGTAACAGATGTCATGAATTCAATTTTTCTTCTTCTTTGATTGCTAAATATATTTAACACAAGCAATAAAATATACAACTAAACAATCCCATCAATCGATAGTTCGTAGTTACTTGAATAATAATTATTATTCATTAAAGAAGAAAGTTTACAGGTAAAAAAAGGTTACACTTGAGGTGGTGAGAAATTTCAATTTGCGTCAAATTCGGTAACAAACCAATCAGAAGCAGTGAAATATTCACGATAAGTATTTTAAATGGGTATAGCGGTATACACTCTAAAGAAAAAAAAGTTTTCTGAGAAACTGAAACTCTTTCGAAATATATCCGAAAAGGTCTCCGGACTCATGTTAAGTTTCAAGAAGTATATTTGAGATTTCAATAATTGGATCTGAGAACCCACCCGTAAGCCTTTGAGTATTCGATCTTTTTTTTATCGAAAACGTTTTTCGGTTTCCGGACTACAGAAACGGTGGAAGCGTTTCCAAGAAATCAAGCATGGTTTCCGAACATATCTCGAAAGCGTTTCAAAAGTTTTGCATAAAATATTTTTGAAACTCATCCTGTGTTCAGAAACACCGAAATAACATTGAGAAATCTTCTTTTTTTATGCTCATATTTCCATTGTTGCTTTAGAGGCTTAAAAATTGTTTGGCATGCATGATATGAATCTTAGTAACCTTATGTGGAGTTGTCCTATAAAACCATTCGGTCTGTGAGAATTCAAAACATACGTAGTACACGACAGTAGATCGACTCTCTTTTATATCTTCCCGTACCTAAAAATTTGAATGGCTTATGACAAACTCTATTGTGAGGATTGAAGAACTGGACTTAATAGTCAACCCAATCCATGTCGCCTTTTTTTTGTCAATTGCGTCGCAATTACGCGCAGAGCCAATTTTAAATTGCAGCTACGCGTAAATACGGCGCATTGGCCGTAGTGAAGATCTCTATAAGAAACTACGCTTACTGCGACCCAGACCAACGTAACTGCGTTCTAGTGATCGCATTATACGATCCGTTGTAACTGATCAATTACAAATATTTTATCTTTATTTGTAATTGGCCACTCTCGAACACTAAAATTTAGTCACAGAAAGTTAGTATAGAAAGCACTGTTCATCACAGTCATTTCATAAGTCATTCTAGTATAAATAATAGAATAGACATTCCGAAATTTGTTTTAAATTTTATTTTTCTAATTTCATACATCGCAGGTTGTGATAAATTCCAAGGGAGACGTCTTTTGCAAATATTTTTTTGCTGGAATCCTGACAAGCGCTGCGGTGTATGTAATTTTGAAAGTTTTTTCCACGTGTTAATTTTTTTAGGCTTCCTCATTCAAAAAATCTTTTTCTAACTGCTAATTTTTTAGACTTCGGAATTTTTGAAAATTTAAAATATTTTTGTAATTAAACGTTTTTCTTTCTTTTATGTTTTAAATTGTAAAAGCTTTTTCTACACGTTAATTTTTTTTATTTCTCTAGATATTTACTTTTTATTTTCCTCAATGTTTCACATTGAAAAATTCTTTTTAAATTTTAGTTTTTTTATAATTTTTTTATTCTTTAAAATTTTGTTTTTAATTTATTCTTTAAAATTTTGTTTTTAATTTATTCTTAAAAATTTTAATTCTATAGTTTAAGCTTTTTATTTTGGCTGCTTAAAAATTTTTCTTTTACTAACTGTAAAGGTAATTACCAGTAATTTCGAAAAACTGCGACTCAGTTACATGTCACACTGCGATCGCAGTTTCGTCGTAATGAAGCATATGGGAAGCCATTACGAGATTGTCGTCTTTCTCCTATTCCTTCCACTTATGTCTCGTCGAAGTACAAGTATTATCGTCATTGTCAACAGATTGCAACGGAATACAGTGCAATATTCTGTCATTTGAGGATCCTTTCAACCGATTTATACAGAAGAGTGATATGAGAGGAATGATAAAAAAAATAACGGTAGACACTTGTTCTTTCATATCGCAAGATATAGCTCCAAAACTGATCCGTTAAAGGTCCGAAAAGAAATACAAATACTAAAACTACACGTCAATGGTAACAAAACTAAAGACATGACGAGTTAAAAGGTTGAAGTAATTTCATGACAGCGGTTTTGAAAGATGCTAAGACTCCATTACACAGTAGTGACTTAGCGACTCTTGCTGAAAAACATAAAACACTCGATAACTAAGACTGACAGCATGATTGCGATTTTCAAATTCAGGAAGGCAAAACGACGAAGACTAACCTTTTCACTCAATAAGACTGACAATCAGGCGTTGATTATAAGAGACAAAAAGATTCCCGAATATATACTAAATTAAGGACATTATATTTAAAAGACATAAAACTTCTATCGCTTTTCCTCACTTAACGACCGGGGATTTGAAAATGAAAGCATTTAAGAGATTGAATAAATTTCGCGAACCTGTCTTTCAAAGGACTCAGCACTTTGACTGTCACCATGTCTGCATCCTTACCAGATGATTAGACATGAGGATTTCAGCGGACAATATAACTCGGGAACTTACAGTTATATACTATTGGGGCCTTCAACTACTCGCTTTAATAGATATGGATAAGGGGGAAATTCGACTAAAAATAATGAGTTAACGCTAAGGGAGTTTTCTTGAATCCTATACTACGTACGAATGTTCGTTAATGGGAGATATATTTAAGGAATAGTATAAGGGGTTAGATAAAGACATTATTGTGAAAAAGATCGATATAGAATAAGCGGTTATATTAGGAAGCTAGAAATAGAATAAGGGGATAGAATAAGCGGTTACATTAAGGAGTTAGCTATATAAACAGTAAAGAGAACGATAGGTTACAGTGGCAGGACGAAAAAGATGTGATCCTCCCGAGATTCGAACCGTGCATCTTCTGCTATCCGGATAGATATCCTATTCCAGTTAGACTATAAGAGACAACATTCACTGGTAGTCGTGATACATAATGATCTTTCATATACATTATGTAGCAAAGTTAGAAATATATTAAGAGATTAGATATAAAGTAAGAGGAAAGCTTACAGAGTTAGACTAAGACGTTAGAAATGAGAGGATAGACACAGTTGCGGGATTTGAATGAGTTTATAGAATATGGAGTTAGAATAAGGCATCAGATATAGAGTCGGTAACCTATCCCATGTTTTTAACTCTCGAAAGCCTCTACTGCGCTTCCGGGACCAGACTCTTTTTTGATTACTTTCAAGGGTTTTCGAGAGTTCGGAAACTTTCTAAAGGATTCCCAGAAGACAGATTTTTTTAGAGTGTGTACCGCCATACATATACCACTACAGTTTCTATTTTGTTACAAATAGAGATGATTTTAATGAATTCGATTTTGTCGCAAATTCAAATTCCCCATCATATGTTACGCTTGTATCAAATAGATGCTGAGAGTCCTCTTGACTAAGCACTTGAACACAATAAACGGTAAACACTTTGAAAATTCTCGGAGTGTTCCTATTGAGATTTTTTCAGCTGACGATGCAAACATTGAATAAAATAACCTAATTTGGTCATCACCTCCATATAGAGCATTCGTAATGCAAGACTAAGTATACCATAGAGAAACATTTCTTTTGTATACCATCAGACTGCTGACCTTTCTTGGTACTTACGCTTAAATGCATTTATTTTTGTTTCAGGAATTTTAGTCGTTAGCAAAATTTCACTAAGGGGTTCATAGATTTAGCGTCATCTTCATGGATTTCTAATATTAAAGTAGTGGACAAAAGTCTCCATCCTAGGAGATATCAGTTGTCACAGTTACTGAACATTTGTATGCATAAAATCCACGAAACATGTAGATCATAGTCATGAGTTTACCACCCTTACTTAAAATTTCTCCAATCAATACTTTATAATCAGACCAAAATTCAGTTGAATGACCATGGATGCTCATACAATGCTTTTAATGGCATGCATTATGAATATTTCTCTACTTGGAGCACGATTTCATTATGAGCAGAATACCAGCTTTTAAATGTCAAGTTCCACTTTTCTTAGTCGTCATATAACTACCTGATAGTTTGAAATATTTCACATGGAATAGATACAGGTGTATATCAATACAGAATTAATGCGAACTAGCACATATTCATCTTTAATTTTCGACTATGCATCGCATGCCTTTAAAAATTTGCCAGTCATTTTTTTCTTTATTTTTTAAACATATAAAAACGATTACAATAAGTATTAGTCGACAACAAGACGATCGAAATTGGATGCTGCAGCGGCACCACCTGCTGCAAATGTATATCTGCCTGAATCAAGTGGATTATCATGAACACCTATATAATCATCATCCATCTTAATTTAGAAGAAAAAAAGAGATATTAAGAATTTTGGTTTTATTTTTATTTTCAAACTGAAATATTCTTACTCCTGGCTGATACATTCGTTTGAATTCGAACAATTGTGTAACAATAAATTCTAAAATTTGTTTGGCACCGCGTTGGTCCGTTGGCATACGACTTGATATACCAGCAATATTACCAAATTCTTTAATAAATAAGTCTAAATCTTGTTCGGAACATTTATTTGTTAGTTGATTTAGACGTGATGTTTCCGATGCAAAGTAATCTTCAAGATCAAATAATTCAAGTGCTGGTGGTTCACAATCACGAAATATTGGCGTATAAACAGCTGGCTTCAGTGCTGGCATAGGAACTTCAAATTGAGGTTTTATTAATGACAGAGGTTCATGTTTCATTTGCAGTTCATCATACGCTCTGAAGTTTATTTAGAAATAATATTTATAAAAAAAAAAAAGAAAAAGAAAATTCGACTCGTCCTCTTACCGAACCATTTTTGGTATAAGTGTTAAATCAAGATTATATAATTGAGTATCAAGTAACTTGCGTACATCTTTAGGTAGCTCTTCGACATCATGTAAACTACATTTTAACATTTCCGACATTGCAATTAGATCAGGTGATAACGATTCATCAGATATCTATTTGAACACAAATAAATTTTTCATAGATTTGAGAGATGAAAAGATAGATACGCGAATTAGAAACTATTAGAATGAGAACTCCATGAAAAGACTACTCAAAGTCATCAATATTTACTAGATAGTTTCTATGAGGAGATCAAGCAACTCAACACAAGAACTCTTCTCTAGGCTAGTCATCGATTTACTAGAGAGATTATTTATCCGATATAATCAAATTCATTACTTACATCTGGTACTTCAGCATCAATTTCATTCAAACGAAATGATGAATTCGTAAGAAATTCAACAATAACATCCTTCAAAAATATCAAAAGTCATTTTTTTCCAAAAACAAAAAATCTTTACCAATAATCTTCGGTTTTGTTCCTTATCCAAATAACTATCATGAAATATCATCGTCGAACCACAAACACATAATCGACCTCCATTCTAGAAGTTAAAAAAAAACTTGAAGATGTCTTCATTGAAAATACTGGTATACTTTTGATGGTGAAGTATAAAAAGCACAAATAGCTTTTTGACATGGTAAACATGTTGAACCAGTCGAAAGTACAGATACAGAGGGCGGTTGAACATTCAGCGAGGCACCAAATGGATAAACAAATTCAAGTGATCTGTAACGGAAGAAAAAGAAGAGTTTGAAAATACAAAATTAAAACATAAGATTTCTTTTTCTACCGTGCAACTTGAGCTCGTAGTGATTTGTCGACAACAACTGCATTTTGACTTTTTTTATTAGTTTTAGTTGCTGGTGTCGTTGCTGCAATTAAATGAGCATTTTCAGCTACAGCTCGATTTAGAACACCATCGAGAATTAGTGCTTCTTTTGGATAGAAATATTTATAATATGCTGCTCGAATAACACTATCTACAATTTATTGAAATTTAATTATTCATTACGAGCAAAAAAAACTATTATTACCTTCGTTAACTTCGACACCATAAGTTTTAAGAAATGTATTCACATTTGTCACTTGTCGTCCTTCACCACCTTCATTTAATGTCAATAAAATACTTCCACCATTGTCAATATACCGCTTCATTGCTTCATACTGAAATAGAGAATGAAATTCAATAGAATTATTGTATTTTTGATGCCCTTCTACAGTTCGTGCAACTTTTTATCGATTAGCTAAACGTTCTTCGAAAAGCGCTACCAAAATTCATTTTTATCTTTCTCAAATAAATTCGAAATCGTTCATCAAGGTTCAACTTACTTCTCCTGCTGTAAATTTTTCTCTTGGATTAGCAATGATAAAAACACGAAATGGTGTTAAACGTTCGGCAGTGATTTCTTCGCGATGACTATTTGAAGGATATAAAAATAAAAATAAGATAACAAAAGACAATTCTTTTTCTTTTTTTTTTACTTTGATATTTTCCAATTTTTAAGATGCATCTGTAGTTTTTTAAACCCACTTGTTAATGTTATCTGTTCATTTTTTGATTGATCAAAGAGTATATTATTGTTACTACTACCCGGTGGTTTTCCTTGTCCACTTCGTTCATCTCCATTCTAGGGATTAAAATTTTGGTTTTTTAAAGACCAAATAATAATAACAAAAAAAGCGGGCTTACTTCTGTCGGCGCCATTTTTTTTTAGTAACCCGATAAATTATTCTTTTCAATATGGCGACCATTTTGACTCGGCCGTCGTTTCCACACAACGTCCTCTTTAAGAAAAATTAAAAAGCGACAATGATTCATCACACAGGAATAGGTGGCACTCTGATGACTCATACTACTGTCAATCGGGTTGAAACGTTCAGAGTGTGGGACAGTAGATAGCAAATATTAGTTTAGTAGTCTGCTCTTTTTGTATGACATATCAGTAAAAATCTATGACAGAGTTTCAACAAATAGAGAAGCCACCAGAGATCGAAAGATTTTATACATCATTTATATTTTTTGCCGTCTTAATTCTTCAATAAAACAATTTCAGATGATCAAATATTTGAAAATAAGATAAAATTGATAGGTCTACTCATGCATTGAATCATGTCATTAAATAACAAAATCAAACATTCCATTCACAAAGTGACCGATCCATTTAAAAGGTAAGTAAATTACATATGACTAGAAGTGACACATAAAAATGCCTCTTGAAAAATTTTCTAATCTAGTCAGCTGTAGCTGTATTACTCTAAAAAATATTCAGATCCGTAGCATATTGTGTTGAAGTCATAAGACTCATTTCCAATGAGAATTTTGTTTCATTATGAAGTACGAGCAGTTGAATCTCTGTCTCTTATGATACGGAAAATAAAACATTTGAAATTTTTCTAATAAACTATTTTAAATAGATGGTGTTTCTGTGGAATGTTTCAAAGTACAATTGAAAAAATTACCATTCCTAGTATCCCTGCGGGAGATTATAGTATCGATGAAAGAAGTACATATTAAAAATATATTACCGTCCAAATGACATATTTACAATTTCGAGCCCGTTTCATATTTGTTTTTCTCTAGCAATCTCCACATTACAGGTAAAGTAGCGAACACGAAAAAAATCTTTATCACTTTTGAGACTTGCCTAAAAGAATCAGTGTGTGAGATAAAACATTATTTATTAGGTTCGTTTATTTTTAACCGTCAAAATAATCAAACATTCCAAAGATTCTATCATAGATTATTTATATTAATCACTTGTGTATAACCAACAGCCTGAAGAATAAAGGTATTTGCCTTGCCGATCGTATATATTTACCAGTCATACATCACGCGACAGCCTCATTCGTTTTTTTTATTTTGTTTTGCTTTACTTTTATACTTATTTAACATAGGATACTAAGAAGAAAATCATTAATGGCACAAGAAAAAGTAACATCGAATGAAGCACTTCAATGGTGCCAAAATTTTCTTCGCGGTGCTTGGTCAAGCATTACCATTGAAGACATGCGTATGGAAAGAATCTCGTAAATATTTTTTTTGAATATGTATAAGGTAAATCGTTTTAAATTTTTTTATCAGCGGAGGTCTATCGAATTATCTCTACTGTTGTTCATTGCCTGAAAATGTTCAACCATTGGGTGACGAACCTCGAAAAGTACTATTAAGGTATTTAATCAACATGAATAATTAGTTTTTGAATAATATTAATTTCATTTCAGAGTCTATGGTGAAGCTCATAAAAAGCATCGTGGCACACTTTTGATTGATAGTGTCGTGTGTACATTATTATCCGAAAGGAAATTGGGGCCTCGTGTTCATGGAATATTTCCTGAAGGACGTCTTGAAGAATTTATTGAAGTAAGTGACTATCGGCAAGATACTCATATGAATATGAACAGAATATTTCTATGCACTTTTACCGTCAATCCAAAATATGTACCGTGCTAATTATAATTATTCTACTGTTTAGTCTGAGTCGCTACGTGCATCAGAAATTCGCGATCCAAAAACTTCACGGAAAATTGGTCGTTTACTCGGTGAACTTCATCAACTTGATATGCCATTAGTGAAAGAACCTATTTGGTTATATTATACTATTGAACGGTGAATCAGTAAATTTTCACGTGATGCTCTTTTTCAATAAGAAAATTCATTTTAGACATCTCTCTGATTTACCCACCGATACAAATAAATTCGAAATCGAAGAAGATCGAGAAATATTTCAAGAACTTCGATCCGTATGTAATTTTACTGAAGAATTCGAGCAACTGAAGTAAGATTTCGAATGCCAAATGTTCTAAATAAAAAAAAAGCAAAGGAGAACGCAATATACTAACCATTCTAACAGAATCTAAAAAATAAGATTTGTTATAACATTCCAACCTAATCACTTTGATTATTGTCGATCATTAAGAAAAAATTTAATTCTCTTTTTTTTTATTTTACTTAGGAAACTTTTAGCAAGTATTCAGAGTCCCGTATGTTTTACTCACAATGATTTTCAACCAGGAAATATTCTTCGTTTAAAATCTCATCCAGAAAAGTTTACAGTCATTGATTTTGAATATTGTTCATATAATTATCGGTAAGAAAACGGAAGAATAGATAGGCCGTGAGAGAAACTATTTGTTTTCTTCTTCATTTTAGTGGATTTGATATTGGAAATCATTTTTGTGAATTTATGTTTGATTATACATCATCAAAAGCATGGCCATTCTTTAATTTAGATTTTACACTTTATCCCAATAAAATTCAACAAGTAAAGTTTTCCTTTTAATTAAAATAATTAAAACCAATAATTTATTTAGATTAATTTTCTATCATCATATGCGGATGCAATAATTTCCTCTGCAAATGAAAAAGCTAATGAAGGATCGCTCCTCTCAACAAACAATAACAATCGAGAAGAGTTAATTGATCAATTAATGAAAGAAGCCAATTATTTTGCATTAGCTTCGCATTTCTTTTGGACATTATGGTCTATTAATATGGCAACATCAACTGCGATTAAATTTGGTTATATGGTATGAAAGTATTGAATGTAAAACGAAAATTTTAGTTTTTCAAATTTTCTAGGAATATGCTCGAGCGCGTCTTACTGCTTATTATGTAACCCGTAATCTACTTGTTGGTGCTAATGAAATTCCACCACGTTTCAGTGAAGATATTCTACGATCAGACAAAAACCCATTTAATAAATCGTACACAAAAATCAACAACGAACAATCAGTTAATTAATCTTTGTTTTTCTTTACTAACGAATATATTGAACTTTTTTTGTTGTCGGTTGTTTTCATTCCAGCAAGATAATGATTGAACAGTTTAATATATAACTTTGCTTTATTTATTTTTAGTATTTAATAGAACGAAAAACTTTTTATAACAGTTATGTTTCTTTAGTCTGACCATGAAATCGAAAGAATAAGTATAAAAATATATAGATAACCCTGATTGATGATCAGCCAAACAATAAATAATGGCCTTTGTAAATAGCGATTGCTTTATAACACTGTCTGTCCTTCTTTTCTTTTTCTTATGCTGATGTCATTAACTTGTTCTCTGTCTTTCTCTATGCTATGCAAGGGTTTCATTACAAGGCATTCGTTATAATTAATATTCTCAGTAATATTTCTTGCGAACATGATTTTCAATCGTTTTCGTCTTTACATTTATAGAAAACCGCCACGTTCGATTAATCTATCATATAACCATTGAACTTTCAGCTATTTATTTTATCATCCAGGATAAAATAAAAAACTGCTCTCCGCACTATTTTCTTATGAACGATTGCAACTATAATAAGCTTCCTCTTTTCCTACGTATTTGTTGTCGTCGAGTGAGCAGAATACGACAAAAAATTTACTAATCATTGTATTCTAACTCCTGACTGAATGAATGTGGTTTTTTTTCTTTCGAGATCAAACAAAAGAATTGCGTACATAGGCTACTAGGCATTGGCATATAATAAATTGTTCAACATGTACATGTCATTCTATCAACTAATGTCCTTATCGTTTATTCTCTTTTCATGCGTACGGTAGCCATTGGACCTTAGTGTAATTACATAAAAAGGTTTGTTTCCGTTTGTTGATGTTATTGTTATTATGATTTGATTTTGAATCGAAGGTGAATGATTGTATTACGTTTGTCAAATTGACTTAGGCATTGCTTGCTTTTACATGAGAAAATTATTTTCAATTTTTAGATTTTGTGCAAAAATGGAAAGTAATGAATGTGAAATAACAGATTTCGATCAAGAAAATAAAGTAATTGATTTATTTAATGAGAATTCGTAAATTTAATCATTTATTTAAGATTCTTCTGGAACCATATGAATATATACGAACGATACCTGGTAAACAAATTCGGCCAAAATTAATAAAAGTAAGAAAATAGACGTTCTAATTCTATTGCTCCTATGCTTTTCTTTTGAATCATTAGGCTTTTAATTTTTGGCTAAATATTCCTGAAGATAAACTTGTGGTTATTGGTGATCTCGTCGAAATGCTTCATAATTCATCATTGCTTATTGATGATATTCAAGATAATTCCAAATTACGCCGTGGTGTACCTGTTGCTCACAATATTTACGGTGTTCCATTAACAATAAATGCTGCCAACTATATTTATTTCTTAGCTATGCAAAAAGCTCTAACACTACAGCATCCTGATGTCACACAAATATTTGTTGGTTTGTGTTAAGTTCTTTACATAACTAAAATAAGTTTCTATTTTATTTCTCTAGATCAAATGTTGGAATTACATCATGGACAAGGCATGGAAATTTGGTGGCGCGACAATTTTGTAGCACCATCCGAAGATGAATATCGTCAAATGGTTATAAGAAAATGCGGTGGCCTATTTAATCTAGGCGTACGTTTTATGGAATTATTTGCATCCAATGAAATACGTCTTAAATATAAATTTGATAGATTATGTCCATTACTATCTTTACTTTTCCAAATACGTGATGATTATTGTAATTTAATGTCGAAAGAATATACAAACAATAAATCCTACTGTGAAGATTTAACAGAAGGAAAATTTTCATTTCCAATTTTACATGCTATTAATACACGTGAAACAGATACACGCATTATACATATACTTAAACAACGTACACAAGATGTGGAATTAAAACGTTATTGCGTACAGTTACTACATGAATTTGGTTCTATTGAATATACACGTCAAGCATGTATTAATTTAGGAAAACAAGTATTCGATGAAATTCATGCACTTGGTGGAAACAGTTATCTAGAAAATATTGTTCAAAGTCTAGTAGAAATATTTCATAACGATAGCGATAGTGGAAATGAACAAGATATGGAAAATAATGATAAATATCCTGCTAATCAAAATGATCAAACCAATAGAAGTTATAAGAAGCCTGTGACATATACTGAGTCACGGTATAAAATATAATTGTCTATGTTTTTATTGGTATCATGAAACAACTTGTATTTCATAGTGAATTAAGTGTTACTAGTCATCTTGTTCTTTCTTATGTTTCTTTTTATTCTACTGGCCGATTTATAAGAAACGAATAAACTTTAAAATTACAAATCCAGAAAAATCAATTCATAATTGTCTTTATTGCCAGTGATCACTACTTTACTGATAGATGAATCATAATGGTAGATCGAATTCGGTCACGTTTTTTTTTCCTTTTTAAATAAAACTATCTACATTTATCAAGTTTCTCTTTCATTCGTAATCTTTACTTTTATTTTATTTTATTTTGTTTTTCATCTTTCTGTGTTTCATGATAGACTCTTATCTTCTATTTTTACTAGATCGAAGTAGGTAGGCGAGTGTGTAAAGAAGAACAGCCTCGTTGCATATGTTTTTGATTCGATCAAGTTTTTTTTGTCACTATTAATTAACTAATATTTTTCGTTAAAAGAAATAAATATCCTTAGAACGACTAAGCAAAAATGTATCCTGTCCATCTTGAACTCATTGATGGTAATTAGCGATGAAATATATTTTTATCGAATTCCATTAGGTTAATTCTCATGCCCAATTGAATTCGTTTCGAATAAATTTATGTCGTATTCGTAAGCGTTAATTCTTATCGAATCATTGAATAATGATCCGTATAAAAAATGAGGTTGTTCGAATACATCATTCCATTCAAATGCACCTCTAACTGTCATTAAAACTAAGGAGCTCAATCGAGATGTATTCAATGCTATTGTATCTAAATTTTACATAAGTTTTTACTCATTATATTCCATACTGTTGTGTTCAAACCACTCTTATGCATAGGCGACTGATGACTATTTTTAGTATTATAAAATTCAATTGAAGTGTACCCTACTCGTTTAATCATGGACGCTGATGCACAATTTTTAAATGATTTTCAAGCAGCGACCATACCATTTGAACAATGGACACATGCAGCTCATATTCGTATGGCTTACTTAGTTTGTCGTTCATCGGATACTTTCGAAGAAGCTTTATTAAAAATTCGGCAAGGGATACAACATTTCAATGGATTTCATTTAGCAAAAGTTACTGTTGGTTTTCATGAAACCATGACTCAATTGTGGACGACTATTGTTTGGAATGCAACAAAAAAATGTGATTCATCTGTATCGAATTCCAATGATTTTCTCGAACAAAATCGTTATTTATTGGATTCATCATTATGGAAACAATACTATTCGCCGGCACTTATGTTTTCACCAGATGCGAAACGTAGTTTTGTATCTCCTGATCTAAAATCAATACATATATAGACTTGAATTTTTTCAAACTTTTTTCTTATCATAGACAATTACAGTTTATCATGTATTCGAGAAACAAAAACGTTGCTCTGCAAATGAATCGATACTTCAAGAAAGAAATAGTAAATTTATGCCGGACCTCAAAGCTTATCACTCAATGGAAAATAATGACTTGAACACTGGCTTATGAGTACTTTATAACTTATCAATGATGACAGAAAAACCTGAATGTAATGTTTATTAATTCTTTGAGTTCGATATACTTTAATATCTAATTATTTCTGAAACAATTTTTATATAGATCGCCGCTTTGAGAAAACTTAGTTCATGTGAAATTCAAACAAATGCATTCATTGAAGTTAGAATTGAAGATATCCAATATTGAAATTGTATTCACTAACATAGAATGAACGAATCTGGAAAGCTGATCAACATATTTCATGTTTTCATTAGTTTGCTATTTTGCTTATTCGAAAGCTCTGTGAATCGCCAAGAAAAAGTGTCTCTTGAAACTTTCTGCAGTTTTCCACAAATAATAGATACGAGAACTTCTGTTGCAAGATGTATTCACGATTTCAAAGTATTTGAACTATTTTAAGAGCAGCTATTTGTTACATACTACACGAAGAACAGCTTTTAAAAATTAGCCTTATACTTTCTCATTTCTTTTTCTCTTGGCCTCTCCTTTTTGTATCACTCAAATAAATGATTTACGTTATTGTGAATAACAACTGATATGCTTGAATAATAATACACGACTGATGCACGGCTAAGTAAGAAACTATTTGATACACATTTGTTTTTCAATCTCATACAAGATAAATGTCTGAAAATATATAGCTCAAGATGTAGCTTCTCGTGAGCGGCGTCATTTTTGCATGTGCAACTTTATTTTGAACCAAAATATTTGATGATTTTCGTAATAATCTTTCTTTTCGCATGATGCGTTTTTGAGGGTCCTCAACCTTGAACTTTCTATATGTGCTTATTTTACTTCGTCAGTTGTTTTTGCTTACAATACAATGGTGAGCAGCAGAGCATGACCGAATTTTTGCTTTAATTAAACTTTTCACAATGATCGAGAAAGGCATTTCTACGATTAGACAATCATTTTTTAATTAGAAAAATATGGAGAAACGAAACCTACAACTTATGAATTCACTTGCTACACAAGTCAATTTGAACATGGTTGTCAAATATCCTGGAAAACGTGTACGAATCACATATACCTCGCTCAAAATCAGACTGTCAGAAATTACGGGTAGCCTGAAAGCCAGATTCAACCTCTGCTACTGTTCAAGACGAAAATGCCTACGCTTTCGCCTATTTTATTCGATATTTCTGATGATATCTTTTATTATTTTCATGCCAGTTCTTTTGCTCTATTTAGGAAGATTTTTTGAACTCTCATCTCGGACTTCTCTCTAAACTCTTATTTTATATGATAGCTTTTTTTCTTGCATCAAGTGTACTCAGATGTAGAATTGAAAAAGTCGCTTTATTGGATTGCACGTTGTGAAATTAATAAAACAGAGCGCTTCTATCATATTAGTAGAAGTAATTCGGAGAGTTTATTTTTATGGAAGTAAAACTTTCCATATTTTTTCTCTTTTTTCAAAAAATGAAAATTTCAAAGCGAGACATTTCTCGGCATTGAAGTGTGATATATTCTCAGAATTGCAAAAATGAATCAAACAAATAGAATGAAAGCGTCAAGGAAATTTTGTGTTGTTAAAATAAGTAATCGAAGGGTGTGAGTGGAATGGGTGAATGGATATACCCATATGATAAAAACCAGAAGAACACCGTCAGTCTACTGTTATAATGATCCGGATAACTGATTCGCCGATGATCTTTGACAATCATTCCAGCCAAGTTGGACACCCACACACTAAGGATAAAATATCATTGGTTACCTTGATCGGTAATAAATGAAACAAGATACCAATTCTCTGCTTTTACAGAAGAATGTTGTTCATAAGGAGTCTATTTTTGTAGATCATGCCATATCTTGACTTGATTTCTGTCAATAGTTGATAGGGAAATACTCTGAGCTTCAATTAAAATAATGTCTATCTCTAATGTTTGCTAACAATACAATAAAATTTTCCTTTTATTTTCACATCCTTATAGATTACGTTAGTTTATCTCACTATTTATTTTCTTATTCATACAGCTCCAATATCACTCTTTCTTTTTCTTTTTCTAAATAATCTTTATCGAAAAATTTCTTTTACGACTTCTTGATTCTGTTTTTATTTAAATAAAATGTTCATTCATTATTCTCATATTGTTTTTGTTTATCTAAACAACGAGACCAGTAAATGGTTTATACTCCCAGGCGAAAGACGCACTGTCGTAAACGACTATAACATGTGGAATACTCAATTTTCCCACCGTGTCATAGTCGTGATTAGTCGTTCACCACACGGCAAAATACGGCCGTAATATACTGCATGCTAAAACGTCAACTTACAACAATTTACGGCCGCTGTAATGCTCGACCTGGGACTGATTTGCTCTTTGTTTTAAAATATCTAAAACAGGCTTAGCTTTAGATATAAATGCCTGTTCATGCATTTAAGCACATTTTAAAGTACAAGCTGCTTTTCCTGTTGCTGTATTTGGCACATGAAATAACAAAGATGTTACACCAAAATAATCCGCTCACTTCAGTTTTGCTACAAGAGGTAATTAATTTGACAATGTTTTTTGATACACAATTTCGGTACCTAAGCGATGATGACTTATACAAAGACAAAAGTATCATTCTCTTTGCCATCTTCAATAGCAAGAAAGCCACTTTCGTTGCTCCCTTGTGTGATAATTCCCTCTCGATTGTTGAATTCAACGGATGAGGAGTTCCGTCCCATAGTTTCTCGTTGATCGTCAGCTAGATGATGAAATATTTTCACTTCGAGTATCAGTTGTTTCCATTTGTTCCAATTCTATGAGGAAACAAAATAGTTAAATAACAGAAAACCTGTTTCTGTTACACGTATCGTAATGTTAAGACCTTCTTCACTATAATGTTCTTGTTGATCACCAAGAATATCTTCTTTATCACCAACAGTTCCTTCTTTCTATCAACAATAATTTCTTGTTGCGTATTGCAATGATTTATTTGCTACTAATTCCTCAAAAAATCTTGGGATCGATATTTGTAACGTACTAAATGAAGTTTTACTTTCTCATTTCTTTTTCTCCTGGCTTCAAATTCTTTTGATCGCTCGAATAAATGATTTACGCTAGTGAGTAATCGTAAAATATCGCATGCGTTTTAATGGTTTATCCATTTTTTCCTATATTGTCTTCTGGTGTGACCGTTAAATACAATAGAATACACTTCACTTCAATTTGCTTCCTATATGTGCACAAAGAGAAAGAAGTGAAAACATAATAATTCTAATAATAAGACCATTGATATAATTTTACAACACGTTTTCCCCACTCAGTTTTGCACCTCTTTCAAATAAAGAAAGATAATTAAATTAACTCGTATGCTTGTTGTGATAACAGAGGCTTTGTTATGCAAACTATTCATTTCTATGGGATGACGGTTACGGTTGTGTTTGTGTACAAGATAATAATCAGCTACACATCCACACCCTTTCCACCGCTCGCGTGACACTTGATGGCGACTAAAATTGAAGCGTTTTCAACTCTTTGCTGCTTTCTTTCATTTCATATAGGTAAAATAGGAAAAAGATTAGTTTTATAGAAATTTTTGATAGAATTCGAGGCCAAAAAAGACCGTGATTCTATCTCGATACTTCAAAAAATATTGTCTAATTCTTCTTTTCTGAAATCAATTCGCACTTTAAAAGACACGTTAGAATGAATTGATCTACGATATGGGTAACATTTCTAAATCGTGCTAAACAATCAATAAAATATTCTTCTGCTTCATGGTAATTCAATTCAATTTGATACAATACAATCACAAACATTAAATTAATATTCTTTTATGTAAACGCTTAATATGAGAGTAATTTTATTCAGATATGTTTTCACCAATAGGAAGTTTAACAAAAAAACAAAACTCGTTTTTCAAACCAATAATTTTATTCAAAAAAAAAAATAACTAAAATTTAGATAGCCAATATTTCTTCTATGGACATTTCATGCCATGAATCATATTCATCCAAGCTCTTAAATTAGTTTGTTTGCATTTTTTAAACATTTTAACATCATCGGGATGACACTCAGCTTTTGCATTGTACCATGATGAAAAATTAAGACGATCAGTGGAAGATAATGGATTATCATATGCCATTTGACATAGAGGACATAACAAATGTGCCCATGGTAAAGAATATCGTAATTCAATTTTTGTATATTCTCGCCATTGAAGATATTGGAGATATTTTTTTGGATTATCAATAAGATGATGAAGATATTGAGCAAGATCCTGAGGTGTTTTATAATCATCAACATGAATATAGGATTGTTTAGGTGCCATACGTTTATAATCATCTTCAGGAGCACCCATAACAATAGGTACAATACGATGATTACTATCAGTCATAATGTTCCAAAATTTTTCTGTTATATACGATTTACAGCGACTATTTTCAAATGCTAAGTAAAAATAATATTCGTTCAGATTCATTTTACATTGACGATTATTCTTTGTTGCACATGGTGCACCACATCGACCATAAATATCGATTTGAATAAACGTTTTTAATTCTTCAACGTACTTTTCTCGTTGAGAAAATGTTACACAATTTGATACAATCCATACGATTGATTTTTTCTTCGGTTCTAAACTTTTCACATTCAATTGGTGTTCCGCATCAATTTCAACTGTGTGTGGTAACGATAAATTTAATGTTTCATTCGGTAATATCCGAAATTTAACTATTGGTGAATATATCAAATATGGCGAATCATATTTGTATGATATCGATCGATCAAAATATTGATTTAAAATATAAGGTAAAAATGAGGGATTGTGGTAATAAAAATTAATTGGAGTTTCGCCTGTAACAAATACCCAACTTTGATTATCAATATTTAATTCTCTACGATCTAGTAATTCGTATCTGTTCGTATCATATAAATGAAATGCAACTGTAGATGCTTGAGATAATTTACTTTTATCACGTGTAAATTGGCATTTATGAATTGCTGAACAAGAGACAATAGTAGATAAATTAAAAAATGCTTTTTGATGCCAATAATACTCTTGAAATAGACTAGTCCAAAGAAGTACGAGACGATGAGATGGAGATTGAAATTTTGAAATAGGAATGTAACGAGATGTATTCGTATCAAAAAAATGCGTAGGAAAAACTTCTGCATATTTATTTTCATTATTCTGACGATTATCATAAATAGTGGGAGAAAAATAGATCATTGAAATGAGAAGAAAACAAATAACAAAACAATAACGTAGTGTTGAATACTTTTTAAATAGAATGATCAAACATTGAGCAAACAGATTAATCGAATGAATAGGATTTATCTGATGTGCTATGAACAAAATGTGAATATGATTACTATTATATTTTTATATCATTTACTAAACTTACATTTTTTCATGTAATTAACATGAACCATCTTAAATAAAAAGAAAAAAAAAGATATTTAGTGTTTTCTTATTTTCTTAAATTATTTATTTCAAATTAAAATTTCGCTTTTTCTCTCTGAACAATAGAATTTATTTTGATAATGAACAACAATTAAAACAGATTTCATTTTTATTTCGATGACGAGGCACTATCGCCAGTTGTTGTTGTTGTTGTTCGTTCTTTATGTACGACAATACCTCGCGCAATTAAATCTGGTATTTCAACAGCTAACCAAGGACCCAGCTATGTTAAAGAAAATCAACATTTTAACAATTTGATCATTGTACGTTCTACTTACACCAAGAGCTAGAGCATGAGCAATACCAAAACGTGGGATATTTCGTGCCCATAAAGGTTGAAAATGATCAGTCATGCAGATTTTTCCTCCACTATAATTAAAAAAAAGAGTTATTGACGATCTATTTTTATCAGCCAAATATACTTACCGATACATTTTTGCTGTTTTACCATCAAGATCAGGTATTGCTATTTCAGGAGCTGTCACTGGATATGTCACAGGAATCTACGTAAAGATGAATATTAAAATAAGAGCAAAAGAAGAAAATCACATTGAATTGTTTACATCGAATTCTATATCGAATTCATAACGTAACATATCTTGAATTGTCCATGCTTTTCCCCACCAGCGAGTTCCTTCTTGATTAGATTCCAAGCGAAACCAATCATTGTCAGCGTCTTTATTATTTTTTACATACTAAATTTCTTTTAAATGGTAAGTTATAATTCAATATAAATCATTTCTACTTGTATTAAAGCTTGAAGTTCTTCTTTAAGTCTTTGCCGCCATTGTTCACCGTCGCGTGGGCTGGCTTTCGTTTTCAATAATGGAATATTCGATAGAGTCTTTTTTGTTACTTCGTCAACCATCTGAAAAATATGTTAGTCATATAAAAATCGACTCATACATTTATTGTATTAAATAGAAATGAAGAATTTTATTGTTTTATAAAAATTTAACGCCGTCAGCGCCATTTTCAGAAAATACAGTAGCTTGACCACGTTTTTCAAGTTCATGCAGAATACGACGAAAAAGTTTTGGATCAATGTTATGAAAATCTATAAGAAAAAAAAGATAGGTTTCTGCAAAACTTTCTTTTATCAATAGAAAAAATAGGTACCAGCTGAACGTGTATCATCGCCATGTAATAATTCATAGAATGTACAAACAGTTCTATTCATACCGCGTGATGTGATCTTAACCAAAGGAAACAGAGTATTGACAATATCGAGTAAAAACTAATTTACCCATTGATAAACATTTTTAGCCCATTCTTCAAGTGAATTCCAAAAGATTAAACAACGTCGCTTGTTCTTATCTTCCCATTCGATATTACCTAGAGTTTTTATATTCAATAGAGAAAAATTTATTGAATTTTATTTTATTGTTCTACCTCGACTACGTAATTCTTCAAGTAAAATTTGAATAAAATGATTATCTAACTGCCCTTGAAAATAAATGATATGAACTGAAGATGATGAATACGTAATTACGAACACATACGATTGATTTTTGCATTGAAAAATGGTGGAAATTTACTAGCATCGTTGACATCGAATGTACAAACTTTTTTCAAACGACAATAATCTAATAGGAGTGAACACCAAGCGTCCAGTTGTTTACGACGTGTGTCAAGATTTGGTTGAAGTCTAATAATTTCAAAAAAAAAAACAGCAAAATTCATTGATAATCTATGAGTTAAAAATTAAATCATATAACAAATTCTCCAGCTGTATGCGTTTTTTTCTTTCCTAATCCATTCATTCGCCGTACAAAGGACGTGCATAACAAGAGATGTTTCTTTTTTGTGTTGCTTCCTTTTATTCAAATTGCAAAATATACGCTTTCATTGTCAACTGTCAATTACTACTTACGTAAAAAACGGAGGGAAATCATGAAACCATGAAATGTCCGCAATTTTCGTAGCTGCCATTTTCTTTATATTTCACTAAAAAAAGACAATCTACAAGAGAAAAAAACGAAAAACAATAACAATCGATGACATTTTTTTTATTAGTTTATTTGTTTTTAACAACAAAAGAAAAGACAAAAGATTTTATGTTAACGCATCTTCGTTACGAAGAAATTCACCGACATCAGCTTGATGAAAAACAACCAACGCCATTGGATCAGCGGCTCGACATTCAATTGTTGATTTTGCTGCTACACCAAATCCCTATGTTAATACAACAATAAAGATCGATTCATAAATTGAAAATCCTATTCTTACTAATGGTACATCATTCATGGTGTAAACAATGACACCATTATATTTTGGTGTATTTTCAGTAATACGTCCTAAACCTGTTTTAACAACATTGTGTCCATAAAGAAATTGTTGTTCAGCATTTGGTTTAAGCCAAACTTTAAACTAATAAAAAAAAAAGTTTTTCTATTAGTGAAAAAAAGAATTTTTCTCTCTCGTTACTTTAGCATATGGAGCAACAAAATCAAGTGCTGTTATATGTAAACGAAATTTACGTGTTTTAGTAAAACGACCGAAACATGTACCAAAACTAAGTAATTCTTTTCGTGGAAAATTACTGGCATATTTTATAATCGCTTCACTAGAAGAAAAGAAAGTCTAAAAGTGCTATCATTGATTTATATCAAACCTGCAATAATAAACACGTTCACGATGTAAACGAAATGTATAGAGTCCATCAGGACGTTCTAGTAACATGCGTATATTATCACCGATACTAAACATTGTTAAATATTCGTATAGAATATCATTAAATAAATTACTTACTATTTTGAAAGTTTTTCAAATAAGATCTTTGTTTCGTCATCTGTTAATGGACGCATGTTATCTAAAATACCGATCAATATTGTATAGGAGAGAAAGTGATTTAATCGTTTTGATAAACTAGTGGTGGCTCCAAAAACTTATGTCGAAGTCGAAATCGAAGAAGAAACTAAATTAAAGTCATTCAATTGATTATAGTTTCGACTAATAAAAGTCAGCTGACTCATCAATAGATGTCGCACACTGAAATCTCGATAAAATCCGTCTGTATATCTTTAAAATTAAGAAACTATTTTAGTTTTTCATGATTTATCCGATAAAAAAAATTTCATTAAATATCTTCATGCTGAAGGTAATATTCATAGCTAATGGTCGATTGATGCGTATTGATAGATTATTACGTGACTTGAACTTTTACTTGACATAATATACACTCGTCGTATTATTCTTAATTAAGGATGCAGTCATTACTGCATTTTGTTTTTCTTTTAACACTTAATTATTTGGTATGTAGAAATAGAACAAAAACTAATACAAAATATTTTATATGACAATTCTCATCTGTAGACTAATGCCGTCGTACTCAAAACATCTATGAACAATAAATATCCTCAAATAGCTGTTTTAGGCTGCGATAGTCGTAAAGCTAATTTGTATTATGACATTGATAGACAAGTTTGGGTCGAACATCTAATCAGTTCATGTGTAAATAATGAACAAAGTATTCTTGAATTTTGTAAACAAGTAAGATGAAACTCATTTTGAGTAGAGAAAAAAATAAATTCATGTTTTTTTTCCCCTTCGCTTAGGCTTATCCATCACTTCACATTGGTAATATAGTTCGATTAGATACTGTATTAACTTTTGAAAATTGGTGCGAACTAATTTCACCCATTGATAAAAACGGTGATAATATTCATCGCTGTAAACAAGGAAGTGGTAGCGAAGAAATCGTTCAGCCATTTCGTTGTTTATATAAAACTTCCAAGCGTGAAGATGTTACTTTACCAACAATGGATTGCTCAATTCATAGTATTATTGGTACAGGTGAATGTTTTCGTGCTGAAAAATGGCAACAATTAGCATCAATGGAATGTGCAAATAAGAGTATGAATTTAAATAGTTCCGTAATGACTCTTGATTGGTGTGGTTTATCGGAATTTCGTGGTATTGAATTTGTTTGTTGTCCAACAAGTAAAATCGATGACAGTGATTATGAAACAAGTCCTGATGAACAAGATAGTAATAATAATTGGGTCGAAGACAACCCTATTCGAGAACCGATACTCTCATCACACCGTAAAATTATTGCTATGACACTTGCATCGCGTAAGAAAAAGTTACTACGTAGTAAGGAATATTTTTTATTTTTATTTTATCAAGGAGAACCTAGCTGGATAGAAGATTATCGACGATGGAATACTGATCCTGCCTATTTTGCTGGTAATTTAAGATTTCGTTGAATTGTTTATTCTATTTTTGACAACTATAGATGATGAAGAAGCAAACGATTATCAACCGTCACCCATTCCAAAGTCTGAAGAAAATCAACGGTTTGCAAAAGAAAAAGAAACTTTTCGACAGAAATATAAAGACCAAATTGATCAAGTATGGCATTGTTAGCAAATATTTGCTCTTTAAAAAAAGAAATCCTACACTTGCTTTTTAGTTAAAATCTCGTTGGCAAATACGTCAAAATGAAATGCAATCATTAGCTAATCGTGACGCTGCAGCAGCTCAGCAACAATATGAAACAAACGAAATTGAGTTTCGTCAAGAATATGATGTTTTAAAACAATCAGCCAACCGCGAACGAATACGCATGAATGAACTGCATGAAATACATTTGGATGTCGGTCTTAATGAACTTAAAACTGAAGCAAATAAAAAATTACTTGATGCGTGGAATGAAAAACCACTTAAGGTATTGATAACAAAAATATTATTAAGCACTGATTGTTACATCATCATTTACATGTTTATCAACAGTTTGCTTATCTGTCCATCGAAACGACAGAGAGAGAGAGAAAGAGAGAAAAATGAAGGTTGATTGTATCTGTCTTATGTGAATGTGTTGACAAGCGCGAGCGAAAGAAAAAAAACAGATGTTCATGAACCAGGGATAAATTATTAATGGTGATTGCATTCACACTTGAGAATAGAAAGGTTACTTATTGAGAGTGTAAAAGTGATCGAACGGAAGAAAGAAAGAAAGAGAAAAAGAACCCGTACGTATTTGTTGAACTGAACATCCGTTCTGAAGTAGACTCTTGAGAAAATGATACTTCTTAAATTGCTTTTCCCCCCGCTAGCGTCTCTGTTCGTTGACCCGAATTAAGAATCCATTTTTTATTGAAATTGCTTTTTTATTCTAAAAATTATTGATTTATAGACTGAAAATGTTGAAAAAGCACTTTATAATTATCTTCAAATTTTATTACGTGATCGTATTCATCTTGTTAATCGTTACGAACGTTTACGTGCTGTTGATCCTGAACAAGCCGAACGCAAACGAATGTCAATTCATGAACGTTTACGCTTAATTGTTGATCGAACTAATGATGCAGTAAATCAACTTCGATTATATCCTAATCTTCAATCAAAAATTCAACCACGACTTGGTAAATAAGGATACACAATTATTCCTATAACATCAATGCTCTTTCTTTTCTAGATACTCTTTTCTTTGAATACGATGAAGTTAATCAAGCAGCTGAAAAATTATTAAGCGATTATTCAGCTACACCCAAGACAACGCTTCTTCCAACGACAACAAAAGCAGCAGCAACAACAAAGAAAGCTCGTCTTCTACCACTCGGTCGAGATGAAAATAAAATTTATCCTTTCTCGGCTTCGTCAATAACCAATTCCTATGATAATAATGATGAATATGATTATGCTACAAACGATGAGTATGATGAAGATGACGATGAAGCAGATAAAAAATCTTCTACAACATCGACAACTACAACGACCGGAATTGATATTATAAATTATGATCAAGTTGAAGCTGGTGACAGTGATTGGGATATAAATAATGATGAAACAGAATCAGTATTTGATATTAAAATTGATGATCAAAATCAACAAGCATTCATCAATGAAGTAAAATTCCTAAGCATTAAAAATGTTATTTTCATTTATTTTCTTTTTTTTAGAATGACATTCGTTCATTTCCATCAACAAACCGTATTCAACGTAATCTATTAATTACATATCTTCCATATGTATTCGGATGTTTACTTGTTTTATGTATAATTATTGGCATATTTATCTTTCGTTTTATCAGACAAAATCGATTGTATGGAAATAGATACGAAAAAAAATATGTTTTTACAGAAGTAGATTCCTATACACCAGAAGAAAAGGCTTTATATGCATTACAAATGAATGGCTATGAAAATCCAACATATAAATTTTTTGAAAGTCAAACACCCAAATGTTAAAATTTCGTTTTTTGACTTAATGTTGTCGTCGATGTTGTTTTTTTTTCTCAGGGTTTATTTGTATACTCATTTATTCATATATATATATATATATATATATATGTGTATGTAGAGATTCTCATCGGCTCTTGACACAGATAATCTACAATATTCGCATTTCTCTCTTTTTTTCTTTGGTAGATTGCACGATTCTATGGTTGTTTTCCTTTTCTGGATCTCTTGTAATATACAGATAACACGTATCTCATCCTTTTGTGTGCCTGTAATTAATTGTCGTAGTTTTTCTTTCCTAATAAATTATTAAAAGAAAACAAAAAGAATCTATAGATATTGATCGATCGATGGAAGAAATAGATAATCATAAAATCTTGTTTACTATTAATTATCTACTATTGTTGTTTTGTCCTTGGTTTTCTAGACGCATTTCACATGTGTCGATAAGATAAGATAAGAGTGTTGTTTACATGTAATAATTGTCTATTTAGAATTGAAAATGGAATAATGAATTCGACATGTTATTGAGAGTTGTTTCTCGTTCATTTTTGTTAGCGAGAAGAAAAACTAGTCCGGACTGAACGGATTACCATTGTTCTTTTCCAAATCGACTACTATGGATATCAGTGTCTGTGAAATTCAATTGTTGAATCAATCAAGCAACTCTGTTCTATGTTACAATGATAGAATATGGATCTAGGTACTCGGATTTGCAAGAATATGATTTTTTTGCTTTGTGTAGAAACGACATATTCTTGCAATCTATAAACAGTGATGATCTTCAGAATGGTGTATTCAAGTGGGATGCCTATTTAACATCCGGAATATTTTTAATCATTATTCTTATGTTCACAAAATTGAAATTAAGACGTCATGATTTATTGTACGAATAAATTATATTGAGTTAAATCGATAATATTTTTTTTTGTTTAACAATTTTCATGGCATAATCTTCATAGAAAATAAATAACAAATGCCATTTCATTTTCTGCAGTAAAAATTTGATCAGAAATCGAAACTGCTTTTTCTCTGTGGCTAAATTAATAATTTGATATTGATCCAATAAGATTAATACAGCCTAGTCATTGAATTTAACTTGTTAAGAATTATTTCGTATACCTTCAGTGTTCATTCCTTCATTTTATCTTATTTCTTATCTATCATGCTATTATGCATTTGCATATCAAAGAACGATGTTTACTCTGGCATGCATAGTTCGCGTCTTTTTTTCTTCTTTTGTCTATAATGAACAATGAAGTTATTGTCAATAAGACGAATAGAAGAAATTTATCATGTTGTCCAGAATGACGCACACAACTGGACAGACCAATTCCTTCTTTGCTCTTATCTGATTCGCCGTGAGCAAACTGTGGCGGCTCACTAAGAAATATAATAGAACTATTGATGAAAAATGTCAGGTTCACTGATTCATTTATATTGAATAATACCTGGCCGATGTTAATAGGTTTAGTGATAAAAAAAAAAGTTGTAAATGTAAACTGATCGATTAATAATTATTGAAAGATGAAGTTAACAAGAAACAAAAATATTATGATTGTGACCAGGCATGGTGACATAAGTAGAACAAATTACCAACATCTATGCTTTACATAATCATACTCATTCTGATGACGATTGTCACTACTTGAAAACATGATTCTCCATATATTCTACCGTTGTTCAGCTAGTTTTCGACGACAAAAAAGATCGATTAAATGCTTTCTTCATCGCATCAATTGAGTTTTCTATACTTTTCCAATAAGTAACATCAACAGGTTATTTTTCTGCAAATAAATTATCATTTGACTGTTTTTTCAATTTCTTCTCACAATGTTTTCTTTCGCAGATCATCATTTATTCAAAGTCACGAATCAGATATCTTCCGAACTGTTTAAAATGGAGTAGTTGTCTAATTCGACTTCGAATACAAATTCTAAACTCGAAATGAAACCCTTGTAGAAAAAGCAATATATTCAGTTGTCTCATTTATGAATTCGAGGATCGGAGTCTTCTATTTCCCCCATACATTGATGGATATCTTAAAAGATACTCTTCAACAGTAACATCATTAGGTGTGTGCGTGTGAGTTTAGAATTTGAGCGTTTGTTCCAATCTACACTTTTCTACGCTGAAATTAGACCAGGGTGCGTATACATGACGCCCAAAAATTCGAACTAGCCATGATCGAGATGAGACAGTTGACCAAAAAAAGAAACTAATGATTTAGTAAGTCGTTTGTTGATTTGGATTCTTGAAGTAATAGTTATCAAACCACGTGTCATCTGATTCCGTAGTAACTAATAATGAAGGAGATGTCAAATCCTACGTGGATGTTGCATAAACGTTTTTTAATTGTCGTTTTCGCTGTTTTTTTAAACTAAGCTCGGTATCAATCAACTTTTTCCATAGTAAATCATCTAAGACATTATGTCTGCTAGTGTGTCGTTTTGTTTTATCTTATTTTATTTTATTTATAAGTAATCAAGTATTCAACTTATGCTTGAGCATCATGATACGTAACAAATATATGATTACTATTTGTAGTCGAATCAAATCCAACGGGCCGAATTTTCATTGAACTATCGCCAATTGTTGTATTTCCAATGAGAACATGTGCTAAGAACATATCCCGTTCTCCATTTCCAGAACAGCCATGGTATAGGCATTTTTCAGTATCTTTGTTAAGGCCGTTTTTAAGATTCCGACTGTGCTAGAAATTGTATATACCATCGTTCATTTTGAATTCGTTCTATTCGTATTATTTGTGTGTATTTTCCTTTCATATGCTTGATCAAAGTTAGTTAAGATCGACTGATTATTCATTTGCTGTACTCTGTAGCTTAAAGCGTATTTTACTTTCTGTTGTTTTTCTCCGTGTCGAGGGTAGTTGATAATTAAGCGATTCTGGAATATTTGCTAAAGTAAATGATCACGAGGTTTATTAGATTTCTATTCTATTTTGCAATAATCATAAAATGTAGAGCTATACTCTTTCTATTCTAACTGAAAAGAACTATTGCCCAGATAGTAAAATGTGTGTCGGTCAAGTCCCACAAAAGGAGTTATTTTCTTCACCGTTATTGTGTATACTATTTCGGATCACAGTCGGATTCTATAACAGCTTGAAAGTTTTCAGCACCTTCGAGTTTAACTTATTGTCGTGCACACGCTTTCGATTGTTTTCATATTGTCATAAGAGGTTTTAAAATAGAAGCCGATTTTAAATTACTACAATGAATAATATTCGTCGAACAGCAACTCACTCAAATCAATTTGTATGTACGTATCCGGTTGTTACATAAGTTCTCCACGTTTTTTTTAAACAATAAATTAATTTTTTCAACAAAGATATTGGGTTGGGTTATAAGTTCGGCATGTCTCAGTTACTATTCCAATAGACCTACGTGTTTTTTCTCATATTCCATGATGAGGCGAGTGATATGTCTTTTGAAAGGAAACAGTCTCTCGATTATTTTGATATTCTTAAAGATTTATCCTTCCTTACGACCATATATATATGTGTGTGTGTGTGTTTGCTTTTCTTTCCGTTATGTGTATTTCTTTCAATCTTTCACTTTCTTTCATCTCATTACTGGACCTTTGTTGCAGCTCTCCCAAGGTCAAATAAAAGTTGATATTGACCTTAATCTTTTCTGTTCCTATTATGTTGTAATATTTCTATTGCGTATTTTGTAATTTGTGATAAGATTACCGTTATATATATATATATATATACATATCCGCTTTTCGTCTATTGTATTGTTGCTCTGTTTCGAATTAAATGGATGAAAAAAACGTGTAGAACTTATGTAACAACCGGGTAGATGAAAAAAACATAAAAGTTGATTAATAGAAGAAAAAAATTAATTTTACTATTGTTTGTTGCTAATAGTTGTTTACAATATTTATTGAACATTCATGTTTTCCACATCCAATAGCTGCCAATGCAATTGAAGTGAATTTATGTAATATGATATTTTGTATAACAGTCGAAAAAAAAACGATGAGCGATTGTCGAAGTCTTGCTTCATCAGTAGCAGGTTGCCATTTAAGAAAAAAGATTCGTTTGCAAGATAAAGTACCCGACGCCGTTGAAATTAGGATAGAATTTGGACTATTTTTTTCTTCAACATTATATGTAGATTTAACTTCATTACCAGCAGCTTCTATTATTGACTGTTTTTATAATTTCGATGATGAACTTCCTACTATAATAACGTCTACCTATGAATAAAAAGGCGATGAAATGAAAGTCCTATAAGAATATTTTTATTTATACTTCTTGTGTTGTTATATCGCTATTTTGTAATTTTCGATAAGCTATTTAAAGCATTGCTTGAGCAACAAGACTAATTGGGCATTGCAAATTACCACCACCAATAGTTGGGAAAGCGATACTTTGCTGTTTTTCTGTCACTGCTTTTACTATTGCATCTGAGACAAAGTTTCAAATGGATTTATTAAGAGATGCACTAGAATTCTTTTTCGGTGCAAGTTGCTCCTCAGCTTTAACAGCAATAAATGATGTTCTGAAAAAATTTCCACTGGCTTTACATATAGCGTTAAGTAAATGTTCTGATGATAAACAAACAACGATAACATCGCCCTAAAAATACGCAAATTCTTTGTTTTTTACTTATTGATCTTTTCAAGCGAATTCATCCGCTGTGTTACTAGATCACCTTTGCAAACATCAATAGATGGATCTGAATCTGTAGTGACAGCTGAACACTGCAACAACAAAAATACAAAGATTATGTATCATTTCTGATAGAGATGATAGGCATGTAAGAAAAACATGAATAGTCATATATAAACCAATTTGCTTGCCCACACTTAAGAAAATTTGCAATATTTTATGAAGATTACAGTGTTGTAAGTTAAATTTCACGAGAAATACAATCAGAAGTATACGATTGTACATCTTTAATATTGAGTTTGCATTACCTGTGTTTTCGCTTACGCTTAATTGTCGACCAATTGAAACGAATAGATTAAGTTTTCTAGTCACACTCACAAAAACTACACTTAAAATAATCTATAAACAGTTTGTATTTATTTTTTAATTTTACATAATTATAAATAAGACTTTTCAAGCAAATATCGGTATAATCTTTCTGAATTACTCTTCTGTCCAACACCCTTCGGCGTCAGTACAAAGAATGAAGCGCATGTCTGTATGATAAAAACAGGGAGAAAACCGATCCGGTCAGCGGGTGCTAACAATAGAATTTACCGCGGTTTACCGCTAAAATTGATCCGGTATTTACGATACGAGTGGTTTACTTTCATAGATTTTACCTACGATTATTTGACTCGATGATGGAGTATTGTGATGATTGAAATATTGCCTAGTTGTCGTCTTTTTTCTTGCGGAACTTTTTTTTCAAATTATTTACAAATATTTGCAACTCTTCTTGAAGAAGAGAAAATTAATAAGACAATAGTGCTCTCGATTCTATTGAATTATTGTATTCGGATGTTTTCTCTTTTAATTCATCAAGTGATTGCCGTACGTCTGATTTCGTCACGCAGAAGACTACGTCACTTATACCGTTCAATTTGGGGAAAAGAGCTGCCGGGTACAGCTGTCCGTGCTAAACTGATTTGGCCTGGTTTTTCTGGAGTGCCTCCCAAAAAGTCAAAAGAACTTCGCTTCCCTTTCGTTATTATTCTCAGAGTTTCAGACGGCACACTCTCCAAAATACCGTATGCTGCCATGACGTGAGTCAAGTAACATAAACCATTTTTCGTAAAACTTGTTGATGTTATTTGATCGATAATTGATTCTTTGTTTTCCGGGCAACTGATGTGAATCTTATATAGAGTGGCGTCTTTGACGGGAGCTCACTTTAAAAAAGACGTTTCCATCTTCACTTTCCGCAACGAAAAGCGAAGGTGCCGATGTTCCCATGATATCTATAAGAAACTGAAAGAATAACAAAGCTCATTTAAAGTAGTGATTAGAGTTGCCATGTTGTGCTAAAAAGCTTCTTAGAAAACATATTCTTACAGAGAAATGTCCTAAGCTAACGTTGTTACGCTTTATCTTGTTGCATTTTTTTATAGAAAAGATCCAGATATTGAAGATTGTCCAAGATCAAAATCAAACTGAAAAATTTTCCATACTAGTAGGGTTGATTTTTGTTTTTGACTAGCTAATAAAACAATTTCATTCTTGCCAGTTTCAAAGCCAGTATACATCAAAGGTGACTTATTTACTTGTAAGACAGGTGAAGAGTAAAGATAAAAGTAGATATTAATGGAGACTAACTGAAAATATTTGAGTAGGAATATAGTCGAAATCGTAAGGAGCGGAGTATATCATCACTAGGGATATCTAAGTAAAAATAGTGATTTAGACATGCTGTTCGCGTTGATTGTATGTAGCTTCAAACGAAACTATCAAATATCTCGCTTCTCGTATACGACGAACTCTTAAACAGCAGTAAACTCTATCTCTGTGGATAAGATAATATAACCGCTATTGCAGTCGTCTACTTGTAAACTCTCTTTTTTTGTTTTATTAATGTGTGATCATCATCGAACGAAGATGATACTTTAGAAAAGTCTTTCGGTTATAAAGATGAATATGACTGAAATCTCGAAGATATACTCCCTCAATCAAACATTTAAACGAAAAACAACTACATTTCTATGCATTAAAAATTCACGTGTAATGGATTGGAACGAGCTTTTTTATTATGTTAAGAAGAAGTTTGTGAACACAAGCATATGCAAATGTTTTCTGCAAGTAAATAAATATTTTAAAGCATTGAAATATATACGTTTCATACGGGGATCGACATCATTCCTTTCATTATTTACTTGATTGGGAATTTTCAACATGACGTCGGATTTTACAGTGTTCCATGCCACATTACATTATTATAGGGTGTGAGTGTGAATTTGGCTATGGGCGACAGGAAAATTGATACCGACATCCACATCCTTGAATTTAATGTCTTCCTCTTCAATTGCAAAAAACGGTGAATAATTTATTAGTGTTTGCAGCTGGAAAGCTCTACAAGCTACGATAGAAAAAATTCAGTGGAGGTTTCATAACTGGATTTAGCAACTGAGAAAAGGTGACAAATATATTCAATTGTTTTCAAAATTTTTTTCATGTTTTTTCACGTTCTCACTCTTATAACTACAAACTTCAGAAATAAATATATTTGTAATTCTAAGCACTTTGTAGAGTTAATCAAGAGTTATCAAATGAAAGCTGGATGAATACGATCACTTCAACGGCTCTCAAGATATCGAGAAAATACGAATTTGCGCTGAGATGTTGAAAAAGCCTTTTTGTTATTTCAGTGGGTGGCAAAAGTCGGTAGTGCTTAACAGTTTTTCTTTGATGTTTAAAATCGAAAAAATTTGGATCTGCACGTGAAAATGTTTAGCCTTCTCATGGAACAACTCTTAAGCGCTATAGCATGCAAATTTTTTCTTTTTCTTTTCAGTGTGTTGTAAAATACTCAAATGTTGATAATGCATTAGGCATGTAAAATTAATCAAAATTAGTTAGATTTACAATATTTCTTAAAGGTTTTATGTGTCAGAATCGGCAATAATATCCAGTTAAATTCATTAACCTCTTTATTTCAATCTAAATGTGTTGTTTACTCGAGGTTCTGTGATGTTTTTTGCAAAGTCAGTTTCAATCTGACTCTGAGCCGTAATTCCGCAGCTTCCTACTTTCAATAGGAAATAATTATGTACTTACCCTTAAAATTCACAACGTTTTTCCAGTTGGAAAGAGCAATTGTCGAATAGTTTCGAATCATCGGATCATACTGTTTCCCACCTTACATATTTGCCCTGGGAATATAACTCTTTGGGCAAGTACAAAGAATAGAAATAGTTCTTCAATGAACTCATCTAATGCTTTCTCATTCGGCATCTTATATTTGTTTAAGATACTTATCTTCAGCTCTTATTACAAAAATAAAGTCAACTGACGAATTATTTAACATCAACGAAATCCGAATCTTGGCTAGTTGTACTCACACCCTCACCAACATCCTTTTATCGGCTATATTACAATTCTTACAAAGACAATATACAATCTATTTGTCCATAAATAGGTATTTGGAAGAGTAAGAACAATAAAAGCATTATCCACGAATGCAAGAAAGGTACAAATATGTAGTATGACAAACTAATTCAATAATAGTTCATCTATAAAAAACGGAACGGAGAATACGTGATGTGCACCATGCTTTTTGTACTCCTCCCAACAATAGGCGACTAAGATCTTTTCAGAATCGCTCAAATATCTGTCTCCATCACTCTCAGCATCAGTTTGGTCCGTACCATTGAGCCAAATACTACTAAATTTTAGTTCGTGAAAGAGATAAGCAAACCCACCACATGCAATGCGCTTTTGATCAGATTCAATACCCATGACGTTTTTTAAGAGGTAGTCATGCACAGTTCCTTGTCCTACTGGTTTATAGTAGTCATCTGACCAATTGTCTGTACATTGTATAATGATGTAAAAGCTTCTTCCTCTTCGTCCATACGCCTTTCCACCCGCTATCCATTATAAAAAGGAATAAAAATGGTTCATATAAATGACTGCGCCTCTGCTAAATGTACTGTCTTCTATATGCTCACCATAGTTCTCCCATTCAAATTTTCCATCGATTGAGTAGATAATAACACCAGCATATCGAAGTAGTGGATTGAAGTTATCAGAGAAAACGGATATTTCACAAGTCACATTCCCGTGTTCTCCTTTGACACGTCGATAGAGATCTTTGAAATTCTTTTTACCCATCTGAAATAACAACAGTGTTTTCACTTCACATGGTTTCGTTTTAAGAGGAGCGAATTTCCGCATTAAGTGACGTTTCCGTTTATGTGACAATAAACAAAAAGAGAATATCGAAACTCATAAATAGAAACGTATAGAAGTGAGCATAGGATGTGCCTGTTGGGGCGAAAAATATCATGGGTACACCCTAAATTTATAATCATTCTAGAAGGAACTAAGTGAAAGACTTCATATCCTTTTATTAGTAAGTCTCCTGTCCAAATTTACAGTAAAATCTCCTTATGTGAACATTTCTCTTACATTCATCGGTTTATCGTTCAAGCGAATATTGTGAAACAGAACAAAAAAGAGAACAGTCAGAGAAAAATTGATCATACAATTATTTGTTCATAATGAAGTGACGCTAACGAGAAAGATGACGTTTTTTCTCGCATAAAAAGGGCACATTTCAACGCATTATAAAAATGTTTTTTGAAGAAAAACAGTTTCGGGAGCATCTAATGTTAACAGCTAGGCTTTCTCTGAGAATAATTCTGTTTTCAATGCTTATAAAGGTGTACTTTTTGCGGTGGAAATCGTTTTCTTTTTCGTTACGTGTATGAGGGAGTTATTTTTAAAAAAGGGAGAGAATGCTGACGCACATAAAAGAAAATGAATTGAGTCAACTAACATGTTTTGAAAAATTGCCATTCTGTAGAAAATGATAAAAACATGTTTGATCTCTTGCTTTACATAAGCTTGATATAAATTTGCCTAACATAGTATTTCTGTTTATAACAATCAATTATACATTATTGTACCTCTTTGATTCCTTTTTGTCTTTTTTTATCTGAATCGAACAGAACCCAAACAGATTTAAAACAGATTTGAGCGACCGAACTCGAGTAAAAAAATGACAGACCTTTAATCTTGATTCGATAATGTGTAAACAAAGTTCCATAACAAATATTTTTCACTAAGATCCATGTAATTGAAACATTCTTTCCAAAACTTATGCTTACATTTCGGTTCAACAATTTGTTTTATGAGGTGATTGAATAGTTTGCTCGTTATACATTCGTTTAATATTTTGTCCTATGTAGTAATACGATAATGTATTGTTTCGAGAAGTATTTGTATATAAAATACTGTACATATTTGGATGTCAATAAATCACAAAATATTCTTAAAAGATCTATTTTGCATTACGATATCAAGGAAATCATTTGAATACGAATTATGAACTATAATAACAGTTCGTCAGTAAAAAATTCGAAGACCTCTCAAAAGTAGACACCTCGTTATAGTGAATATTCTTACATATTTATCAAGAAAATAACCTACAGTAATCTTGATCCTTATAATTGTTCTCTACAAAAAAAACTACCATTCCCTATGCTACTGTTGCGTTCTTTTTCAACAAGATTTTCCATTACACTGATATATTTCAAGATTTATTGACCTAACTACATTTAAACGAACTATTGGGATCAGCAAACTGTGCGCACATAAAAATTGTTTTGATGCACTCCTAGAAGTGCTGTAAATTTATGTATCTTACCTTTTACCCAATATGGATGGCCTTTCTTGAAGATCCCTTTCTTCCTGTGCCATTGCTTTATTGAAATTCGACCTCTAAAATTTTACTTTTCGTATTAATATTTACTTTCAAGACATTTCCTCTCTTTTAAAATCAATATTTGACTATTTTCGACTAGAGCATTTTGTTTTGAACCGCTTAAAGTATCATGTTCGAAATCAACACAAAAATAGTAAGTTGATTCGCGTTTATTTTGTACTGTTTATATGGTTGTCTTGTATCGCTCAAAGATGCATGGAATAATGAAATTCATCAAACAATCTGTTCACCATTATACTACAGATGCTTTTCAGATCAGCAATATGTTAACTTCAAACACAAGGAGAAATTAATTTTGACTGCGACTTTTCATCTTTCTTGCGCATGATTTTTTTCTCCGTCTCTGAGCGGTAGCAGCGGTAAAGTTTTGAGCGGAATAAAAAAGTTGTCGAAGCCATATGAAAGAGAAACGGATACACATGGCACCTTATGCTGATTCAGAATATCGTACTTTTAAAAGTTCAAAATAAATTTCTCCGCTCGAAGAAGGTCAAATATTGATCTTATAATACGGAGTGCCTTGTGGTAATGCGGTCTATAACGAAAGTATACCTCCCACGTATAGAATTTCAAAGTAAAAATAACATAACAAGTAAGAGTGCACTGTATAAATATTTAAAGAATAAAATAATGTTGATGCAGAAAAATAGGCTTCGACTTCATAAGACTGTAAGTATCGTTACGTTTCAAATCGAACAGAAGATGCTTTAACAAAAACACACATTAATCTACTGATTTCAACTTTTGCTTTTCAACAACCGATTTCCTAGTCGAAATTAAAATTTCAAAACTAAATAAAATACCTACTAACAATGATGCATGCCGTCAGCGAATATATAAGATATGCAATTTAAACAGACTTCGATGGAGAAATTTTAATATTTTTAATTTTATTATTTTTCGTTGTTCTATTTTTAAGAATTAATTAATTCAATTTTTATACAAAACAAAAGCAAGAGAGCTAGTTATGAGTAAAAAAAATAAGCCAGTGATTTAAATCTAAGCAACAGAATTGTAATTTTACTTATTTTTTTTTGTATTGATTGCAAACAAGTTTTGATGATCATTACGAACATTTCAAGACACAATAATCACTGTAGTTCATGGAATTTTTATATTTTACATCAGTTTTAATTTAGATAAATTCAAGATAAAACTTTGGTTTCAGTTGTTGTGCATAGGTTTCCACAAGAACGTTAGTTTATTTATTTAAAATTTTAAGGATTGTGCAAGCACAAAGAATCATTTGGTGTGGCATCTGTTTGAGAGCATAGTAAGTAGGGTGGTCAGATCAAAAATTGAAAAATCAGAAAATGGCAGTTTTTGACAAATTCGTACATCTTCCGCTAAAATACTGACATCCAAAGTTCTGCTGCGTTTCTGTTCATTGACTGGAACTTTATTTTCAAAGATATTTTAATAAAACGAAAGGCAATAT